GCTAAATGGATAAAAGGGCGTGCCAAGAAAGCCTGATGATCTATTTTAATTCCTGGAAGTGCCATGTGCCCTTTACATCTATAAACAATTATCATGCACACACAAAAAGATATTTCACTAAAATCAAGCATCGCTAATCCCAAAGAACCTCATGTAAGAACATTTTTTAAAATGTCTATTTCCAGGAGCTGAAAGTACAGAATGAATATGAAATATGAGTGATGAGGTAAAAATGGATAATACAAAGCAAAGATTATGTACTACATTTGCTGTCAACAGTGAACCACAGATGGTTTCTCATAAAATAACTGACAAAAAGATTCCTGCTAAGGTTGGGGATGAGTTTAGGTGCAGAGTGCTTGTCTAAGCATATAGAAGTACCAACATCACCAAAACAAAACAAATACAAAAAGCCCCATCTGCACTTAGAAGAGTCGTTTCTACAGCAAATAATGAACATAAAAAAGACAACTCTGGAATAATAATAATAAGGAAGTTGGTTGGGCATGATGGTACATGACTGTGATTCCTGCATTCAGGAGGCAGAGACAAGAGGATCTCTTTGAGGTCAGCCCGGTCTACAAAGTGAGCTTCAGGACAGCCAGAGCTACATAGTGAGACCCTGTCTCAAAACAAGGATAATAAGGAAGTTATGGCAAAAGTCAAAGGGTTATGCTACTGAATAAATATTCACAGAGCTAAAGTATGTGATACTATTGATCAATATAAAAGAATAAGACTAATCTTCATAGACTTTCATAAGAAGGTATATGACCCATGGCTAAAACGAAAGAATTAAATTGAAACCGTAGACTCACTGTGCTACCTTTTAAATTAAGCAATCATATTACAATATATATAATCATATCACAATATATATCTTCCACAATTACATAGATGTTTATACAAAAGAATGGGAAAAGGACAGAATAAACAAGAACAGTACCTATAGGTGGTATTCTAAAATGCCTTTTATGACATCTGTTAATATTTTTTACTCTATAAGGAAGAATATATTTGTGTATAACATTCTGCATAAAAACTAAAACACAAAATTTAAAGAGTTAAGAGAAGTTCTGTAATTGCAGAGTTGAGGCAAGAAGACTATAAAAGTTCAAGGACAGTTTTGGCTACATAGTGATGTACTGTCTTTATGAAAAAACAAAAACATTGTGCCATGAGAGACTCGGCAGGCTCCCCTGGCATTTCCTCCTGCCTGTCGTCAGTTTGGAACCCTAAAACCCGCTCACTTTTCCAACTAAGGATTATTATGACAATGCACATGGGGAACCTTGGCGGATTCCATGGCAAGCAAGGGTGACTGAGGCAGAGGAACAAACATGCCAGGCAGATAGAGCTTAGTGAGAAGTTTTATTAGAAAGGGAAGGTGGGGGGAGAGAAAAGAGGTAAAGAGACACAGAGACAGAGAAAGGACAGAAGAGGGAGACAGGAAACATCCTGTCTGCCCCCAAGAAACAGTGGGAAAGAGAAGGAGAGAGGGAAAGAGAGGAGCGTAAGTAGGCAGGGTCCTTTCTTTTAAAGGGGGTCTTTTGCACCTGCATGCAGACTACTGCTGCCTGAATGCATTCTGCCAGGTGACAGGAGCAGGCCAGCATAATGCCTGAATCCTTACAAGGATAACTGGAATTCTACATCTACCAACACCAGCTCTGGTAAGCACTCCACTTCTCCTCCTTGTGTGAGTGAGGATTCAATTTGCTGATGTGTTTTCTCGCCTTTTGGCTCAGTTGAAAACCCCAATACTTCTTGGCTTGGAGCCCTTTGGCCCCAGCTTGATGAACTGCAGTTGCAGCCTGTGCCATCTCATCTGATCCTCCCTTGATCTCCCTGCGCAACTGAGATTAGGCCTTGGATCTTACCTCACTCATGGAAATACCCCCTGCTTAGATATCAAACCACATGGCAGCTTACTGGCACCTTACATTTCACCAGTGGTCCATAGTTGGAAGTGTGGCCTCTGTTCTTTTTCCTGTTCTCTTTGTCTGTTTGTCTCTTGTTCCCAGCAGAGGCCTCCCTCCACCTCCCACTATGGCTAAGCCTATCTGAGAATGTTCTGTGTTGCTAGGCCTCTCGTGCTTATATTCAAATTGTTTCACTCTTCTGTTTGCCCTGCCTCTGCAGCAGCCACTTCTGCTCTATCCAGCCTGAGGTAGCGGGTCCCTCTTTCCCGCCAGGCCGACTGCATTTCTACTCTGTGTTCCTTCTCTGTGCTCCAGTTTATGAAGAGCCTCCCTCTTCCACTTGCACTACAAATGCCTTGCCACCCTGCCCACAGTGGGCTGCTCAAGAATACTTTTTGTTTCCTATCTGTTTCTAATGTATGAAAGAATGTACAAATAGTGTATGGTGTGGCCACACACATGTGATTCTGAATGCCTGCATCCTTTATGTGTGTCTTACTAAGTGCACATGGTTTAAAATCTATAAGGTATCTTATAACACATGGGCAGGCGCCATCTTAACTAAGGGCAAGTCAGATGACCTTGCCACCATCTATGTTAAGGGTGACCATGTGACCACCACCATTTTGTTTGAGGTTAAAAAAAAAAAAAAAAAAAAGAGTACTTCACCATCATCTTGACCAAGGGCAAGACAGACAAGTCAGATAGATGAGCTAGTGTTCATCGTTACTAAGGGTGCTCTTTGCCTTGTCTCACCTTTTACTTAATGTGTTTGTTTCTGCTTTCTCTTACACCAATTCTGTTGTGTGTGGCATGTTTGCCCAGTGGCATGCTTTTTGGCAGAGCCTGCCAGAACTACCACTTCACACCCACCTGCTTCACCTGTAATGAATCAGCTTTGCTTTGCTCCAAAGATCTGAACATGTCTGTCAACTTTTTCTTTAAATGCCCTGCCTGCTTGTTATAATATGTGAGTCAGAGATGGAGAAGCAAGCTTTCTTTAGCTCAATACACATAATTCTCTCTTATTTTACTCAACTCCTATTTAATACATGGTTAGATCTATCTATTACAACATACTGTGTATGTGATTTTACTCTAGTCTAAAGTATATTCCATGTAATGATAAAAATTTAAGGTTATAAAGATCTATTTCAGATTAACAAAAGCTCATAATTGATCTTGGGAACAGGCAGGCAAGGCGGTCTGCCACGTGAGGCAAGTTCTCACCCCTTGCCTCTCTTAGCCCCCTCAATGAGCTCAGTTGAGTGTCCCATGGGGCCCCAAGGCATTTACTCTGAAAAATTTAAGAGTGTTCAAAGCAAGCTTAAGCCACCTGGATACCATAGCTAGGCATAATGGAATACAACTGAGGTTCTATTTTGTTGGCTTTTGGAACCAAGGCCATGACTAAGAGGGATGGCCAGGGGCATTCACATTGTGCCACTAGAGGTGAAATACTTAGACCAGCACAGGACAGACCAGAGCGAAAGCATTTGCCAGTTTAAAAGTGATCAGTCACATAGCTCAAGTGCTGCCCAAGCAGTAGCCAAGGCTTTAGCTGCTTTCTTAGTACCAGATTCAGAAAGGGGATAAAATCACAAAACAATTCAAGAACGAACAGATGGTTTAAAGTTTATCTATGTAAAGATAGCAAAGCTTAAGATGTGAGGATCTAAAAATGTTTCAGGGTCTAAGAAAGTGAACTAAGGTGTGTACAAGCAAGTTATGAAGGTTTGAGGATGGAAAGGCTTAAGTGTTGACAAAGAAAAAGTAATGAGACATTTAAAAAAATGAAAAGTTTTATATATATATATCTCTCTCTATGCTATTATTATATTAAGATTCCAAAAAAGTTCATAATCTTAACATTAATCAATAAAGTTCTGATAAGCTATTAATCCAACTCTGACAGAGTGCTAAACACCATACTATACCACTATATGATCATAACTGCAAGCTCAAGATTTTAAACTCCCTTTGGTTGCTTTCTAATTATAGACTTCAAAGGTACTTTTCATTGTGCTTAAAACATCTGTCACAGTTTTCCAGATGGAAGGAAGAATGTTAATGGTTTCAGCTAAAATCATTTCTGACATGAGTACACTGTCACTTCTACAATGTAAGTTTCAGTACCCATAACAAACAATAGAAATGCTAATATGTCTAAAATGTGTCTTTTCACAAACTCAAAGAATTCTTACAAGTTCCAGGGAGTCAACTTGGAGGATTCACCTCAAACAGGTCAGATGCACCCCTCCCTCAATTACCAGGTCCTAAGCAGCCCAAGCCTCCCCACCTTTCCCTCATTTTGACACCCACCCTTCAATTACCAGGACCTAAGAAAAAAACTTTTTCCTACACTTAACCTTTGCTCTGCCAACATCTTGGCAGGCCCAAGAGGCACCAAAGAAACCAACCCTAACCCTAACCCTAACCCCAATGAAACAACCAGCTACTCTAGTATGTGGCAGCACCCCAACTTACTTAGGACCCCAAAGATGGTCGATGCCCCCCATGTAAACAGGAAGCAGTCTTGTGAACTCAATGCCCTCATTCCCTAACCCACCATACTTAACACCTAATTAAAAAAAAGAAGGGAGGAATGTTGTAATCCAGGCAAACCTGGTCCTGTCCCTTGGGGACCTGGCAAAGTGTGCCACCTCTGTAAAAAGCAAGCAGTACCCTGGCTCTATATACAGGTGTGAAGGTCCCTTTAAGAGGCAAATTCCAAATTCCATCCACTTCCTCTCTCTTTCTGTTGTTTCTGAGGAGGCAGCTTTCCAAGTCTCTTCTCACTTCTCTCTCTCTCCCTCTCTCTCTCTGTCTCTCTCTCTCCCCCTCTCCCTCCCTTCCTCTTTTTCTATTCTCTCTCTTCCTTCCCTTTCCCCAATAAACTTTCCACGTAAGTTTTGTCTACAGATCTCTGTTTGTTTCTCACCCAACATTTGTTGCTCACCAACCATGGGATCCACCAAAGGTCCCACCTCGAGCCATATAATAACAGACAGGAACATAAAGGAGGCCTCATGTAGTATTGGGGAGCAAGGAGAGAGCAACTGTGACAAGATAACAAACCTGGTAGGATCCACTTCAAAGCTAACATGCTGCCAATCTGAAGATGTGATCACAATACGTAATAAAGGATCCAAGAGCTTTTGTAGGTAAGTAGCACCATATACCTAAAGAAATGCACAGTTAGGCACAGATCCATACATCTTGCATTAAAAAGGTAACCAACCCAACACATCCTGTGATAATTTCTTCTCAACAAACCTAGTGTACACATACACATAAAATGAATGATACAAACCTTAAAGCAGAATGTCATTATCTTACTGGCCAAGCTGTTGCCTCGGAAAAGAGTCTGCATGGAGTCTGCCAATTCTACTTCCTTAGAAAACATGTTCCAGAGCAGCTGGTAGAGTAAGTGCCGAGAATCAAACAATGTAACCAGAACACGAGCCAGCTCGTCCTGGTAACAAACAAAATTGTGTTTGTGTGAACAATTTTACTTTTTTCTTAGGTAGATTTAAATTTTTGAAAAAGGTCAGAAAAGAGGCAAATCTAAAATTCACAATCACCCATTAAATCAAGGTAAAAGGTAACTAGTTATTCCTAACATTTGCATTTGTCTATGATAGGTGACTTTTAAAACCTGTTTCTAATAGATGTTAACAGAAAGGATTAACTGGTGGAGAGAGACTGAGACTTTACCAGGAGACAAAGACTTCAGGATTTGGTTCAAATTATATAATAAAAGTAAGAGTTCACTTCGATGTTTGGATGAGTTGAACAGACTGCTTTCTTAGAACTGATTAAATACATTATGGCCAAGGCAGAAAAACGACAAAAATGTAAACACCAAATGACTGTTTAAAAATCAGAAGGGGGCAGGGCAAGGGGAGGTCTCAGTTAAGATATTCAAATCCTGAAATCCTGTCAGATTTACTTACACACAGCTAAAGAGTTATTGAATTGATGTTGTTGACCTTTTTATTGTTCGTCTGATAACCCTTTTGTTCCTTACAAAGAGAAGATAGGGGTGTGTGTGTGTGTGTGTGTGTGTTCCTACTGGGTAGTTTGTGTGTCAACTTGAGCTCAGCTGAGGAAATACCTCCTTGAGATCCAGCTGTAGGGCATTTCCTCATTTAGTAATGGGGGAGGGCCCAGCCCATGATGGTTAAATTTTTACAATTTGATTCCTATCAGGAGCAAAATTACAGTTATGAAGTAGCAATGAAAATAACTTTATGATTGGAGTACTCACAACATGAGGAACTGTATAAAGGACTGCAACATTAGGAAGGCTGAGAACCACTGGTGTATATGATCAAGAGACACTGTTCATATGTATGACATTGTCAAAGAACAAAAGAAAGTTAAAGGGATTGAGAGATGGACCAGCAGTTGAGAGCACTGGCTGTTCTTCCAGAAGACCCAGGTTCAATTCCTAGCACCCACATGCAGCTTATAACCATTTTAACTCCAGTTTCAGGGAATCAAAGATCATTTTCTGGTCTCTTTGGGCACTGCATACACATAAAAACACACATAGGCAAAACACTATACATACAAAATAAATAAAATCTCAAAAACCATTTCAAATAATTGAGGCCAAGTATGGTGGTGCATGCTTTTAATCCATGCAATGGGGAAGCAGAGGATCTTTGTGAATTTAAGACTATATCCTGGTTCTACAATGAATTCCAGGTCAGCCAGGGCCACACAGAGAAATCCTATCTCCAAATAGTTAAGTAAATAAAAAGTATTTTAAGTCATTTAATATAAATCTCAGAAATATTTACTGTAAGAAAATAAAATTAATTTAAGCTTCTTTGAATTAAATCAACTCTTGTTTTCTTATGCTAGGGATGAAGAATAGGGTCTCTGACATACTAGACAAGAACTCTACCCCTAGGCTACATTACCAGACCTTGACTACTAAGTTTTTTAAATTTCTGGTAAATACAAAAAAACCCAGAATATTTATAAAGATGTATGAAATAATTTTAGGCTTGAAAATGATAATTTAGGAGTGTTGCTAACCAATGGCTATAAAACTGCATTTATGTGAAGCCAGATGTGATTTGCATGCCTATAATCCCATCATTGGCAGACAGATGTGTACTTAGTGAGTTTCAGGCCAGCCAGAGTCACAAGGTGAGACCCTCTTCTATCTTTAAAAAAAAAAAAAAAATTCTGATAAGAAGATAGAGCTCATGTTAAGAAAGAATTCGTACCTTACTAAAACCAAACTCAATAAAATCAAAACAATCAGAGAAGCATCTTAGAAAGCAGCAGCAGCAAGTGTAGCTGAGGGCGGAAACAGCACATCTGAAGATCATAGAGAGGGTGCATTAGGACAGCAGGCCCAGATTAGGTGTAGGATCATAAGCCAGAGAAAAGAATGTGCTTTTAAATATATATTTTCAATTTATGTGTCTATGGAGGCAGGAAAAGGTCATCAGATATCTTCGAATTAGTAAGCACGTGTTTATTAGCTGTCTGATGGAGTACTGGGATCTGAACTCCAGTCCTTTTGCAGAGCAGCAAGCACTCTTAAATACCAAAACCTCTCTCCAGCCCCTCTTATGGGTAGGTGTTCTTGGTTTTTGTTAATTTTATGTGAGCAGCTGTTTTGCCTAAGGAGGCCAGAAGAGGGCACCCAATCTCCTAGGACTAAACCTGCAAGTTGTGAGTGACAATGTTGAGAGCTGGAAACCAAATGCCTTTAACTGCTGAGTCATCTTACTAAGTCCTCACTCTCCCATCACAGCTTTTAAGCAAAAACTAAGGACACCTTAGTATTTAGACGTTACTCTTACTGAAGCCCCCCCCCCTTTTTTTTTTTGGTAAAATAAACCACGTGGCTTTAAAAGGAGAGAGGGGGCCTCACTATGTAGCTCCAACTGGCCTGAAACTTGCCAGGCAGACCAGAGATCTACCTGCCTTTGCCTCCCTAATGATAGGATTAAAGGATAGGCAACAACACAGGGATCCACGTGACTTTTAAAAATGGAAATGAACAACAGCTTTCTCAAAGTTTTAGCATGTATTATTAAGAATGTTGTATGGTCAGAGGGTGAAGTCCATTAATAAAGCACTTGCCTAACATGTATGAAGACCTGGAACCAATCTCCAGAAAACAAAATAAATTTAGAAGGTCAAACAGCAATATATGTCTATAGTGTTTTATTGGTCCATCTTGTTTTGAGACAGGGTCTTATGTAGCCCAAGCTGGCCTTAAACTCATTATCTAACCAAGGCTGGCCTTTGATTCTTTATTCTCTTGCCTTCACTTCCCAAGTGCTAGGATTACAAGTGTGTGCCACCACAGACAGTTCAACTTCAAATGCAAGTAAGTATATAATACTTAAGTAAAAACTAAATTATATAGAAGGCAGAGGTAGTAAACAAGAATAAATCACAGGTTACAGATTTATTAGTAACAACTAAAGTTAGGTTTACTAATTACTTATGTACAAAGACATGAGATCACATAAGTGGTTTTACATTTTCTTTATATGATAATTAAATGGACTGTTCACTGGGGTGGAAAGAAAGAAAATACTAGTCAGGGCTAGGAGTACCAACCACTTCTCTATAGATGAAAACAAATACATGAAAAAAAAAGTTTAATGACTTAAGTTTGCCCATTTTTCTTTTTTCAGACTATCTTGTAATGTTTAAGCTCAACCTTACTATCTAAGCAAAGAGGACCTTGAACTCCTCGTGATCTTGCTCCCACCCTCCAAGTGCTGAGATTATAGGCATGCACGATCATGACTGACTTTTTGTGGTGCTAGGGAAAGCATTCTACTAACTGAGCTGCATTCTCAGCTATAAATTGCATACTTTTTTCTAGTTCTTATATTTTTATCAATTCACCTAATAAACATTTATGGACAAACCTATTTTGAATCTTTGGCATTCTACCTCCCTACTTTCTCAATAAACTTACCCACTGAGAACAAGGGACCACATTGGCCAGAGCCATAGCTATAGGAAGCTCTCCTTGGTCTCCCATCATTGTGACCAGTTCCACGAGTCTCTCAAACCGATCTGCCAACACTGTTTCAGCAAGTGTGTCGAATTCTGTTCCTTGTTGAAGGATTTTTGTCAGAACTTCCATAAACGTAGCTCTTGTCTGGAGATCCTTGTGATAACCTAAGCCTGACATAGACAGACAGATGCAAATTTACTACCACAGCCTGACTGATGCAATTTTCATTTTACAAGCCACGTCAAGTCTAGGTTTAACTTATTATTTTATGTGTTTAAGTGTTTTGCATCTATGTATGTCTGGGCACTACATGTGTGCCTGGTTATCACAGAGGACAACAGGCACAATCATATTCACTGGGACTGGAGTTACAGGTGATTGTGAGCCTCCATGAGTGTACTAGGAATTAAACCAAGGTCCTCCAGCCCAGCCCTCTAGGGCTTTGAATTTCTTTTTTATTTTTGTTTGTTTAGAGACAGGGTCACTCTGTAGTTTTGGCTGGCTTGGAACTCACTGTATAAACCAAGTAGGCCTTGAACTCAGAAATCCTCCTGTTTCTTGTTCCTGGTTGATGAGATTAAAGGCGCACACAACCATGCTGGGACAGTTTTATATGTAGCTTTCATTTGATCTTACCTATGGAGTGCATGAGTCCACTGTCCACATTAGCATTGAGTAAGTTTGACATTGCAAGCACTGTACAGTGCCTCAGGGATGCCAGCCTCCGAGACATGCCACGTTTCCTGCCACCTGTTTGTGCATTTTCATCTTCAACTTCACTACAGTCATTCAAAAGGTTCATAAATAGTGTAAAGTACCTGGGAAATACAAAGACTGACCTTTACACAGTGAAGGCCCCAACGACCAGAAAGCTAAACATACATTCTGAGTGATTATATGTGACATTATGTGTGGCTGTGAATATATGCTTTTCTGATCTTGGGTTAAGAAATCAATGTAATTCATTATTAAATTGCTGTGAGAATTATTTTATCTTAACAAAGTTCAGTATTCATTTCATGGCATGGGAAACGTGCAAGGTTTCCTGGCAAATTTGTCATTTTTAATATTCAGCATACAAAATTCATGATCCAAATAGTTTAGTCAGTGTTTTTTGGATTTTGGGGTTTTTTATTTTGTTTTGAGACAAGGTTTCTTTGTGTAACTCTGGCTGTCCTGGAACTCACTTTGTAGACCAGGCTGGTCTTGTACTCAGAGATCTGCCCACCTCTGTCCCCCAAGCACTGGGATTGAAGGTGTGTGCCACCATACCTGGCTTCGACATTGTCATTTTAAATTACTTAATGAAGCAAACTAGGTTTGTTACAAGGAAAAATTCAGTGATCACATTATTTTCTTTAAAAAACAGAACACAAATTATTTGCTTCTCTTGGCCCCATCATTTCACAAGTAGATATGGTATGTTTTATGAGAACAGCCAATGGCCACAATATAAAAGCAACTAGATCTTCTTTTAAATGCAATAATTAGCTACTTAATTACAGTTCTTTGGGAGGGAGAAAGCTATATTTGCTTTTTGCTTTGGATTTTGGTAGCTGGAATTTACTTAAGAAATAACTGTGACTTGGCCTCCATTAGTTCCACCCCATCTCCTTCTTCAGGCTGTAGTGGAAGGCCAGCGAGGAGTGAAACTACTGCTTCCATGCTTGCTTGGTCCAAATCTCTAAAGAAAAGTAATTTAGAAACTATGAGGCTTTCAGATACAAACTTTAACTCTCTATTTCATTAATTAAACTGTAAGCACAACCTAAGTGGTACCAGTAAATATGCCAAGCTTAGAACACACACAAAGACTTCACACTTTCAACCAAGTAACCTTTAACATACTATCTATGTTAAATCAAAAGGACAGGGCTGAGGATACAGTCCAATTTAGCATTTAAACATCTTCAATTCAAGTTCCAACATCACAGTATAAAAAGGAAAAAATTCAATTAACCAACCAACCAAACAAACAAACAAACAAAAAAGTATATACTGTCAAGTTATACCTAGCCAGAGAAAAAGATGAAACTGTCATACTGTTCAAGAGTTACCATTTGGGATATGCACAATCATCTGTCATTAAAGCAAACTTAAGCAATTATGCCTTAGATTAAGCATAATTATGTTCATCAATCAATACCTCTATCTAATCATAAGGTAATACAATATAATACTTTATGCATCTTCTTTCTCAATAACTGTTAACCATTTTTCCTAAGCCAACACCACTTCCTTCACCCTCTCTCACATTAGTTTCAACTAAATCTTTCCATTAAATTAAAAAAAGATTTTTATATATTTCAAATGCAAAAGCTTACCACCTACAAAACAAGTTAAATACAGTATGTTATAAATGCTTAACAGCTATACCTATAGTGGTTTCCATGAATAAGGTACAATATGACAGTACTTAAAGGTCTCTCTCTCTCTTTCTCTCTCACCTTGTGAGACACTTCACATCATCATCTGCTGCTTGGTTTGATGTTCCCATAACCCAGTCTGTTAGGTATTCCACCATTTTATTCCTGCAGAATGATGAAAAGGAAAAGAATAAACAAAATTTTAGCTCTCTTAAAAAAAAAAAAAAAAAAAATTTTAGCTCTCTATCTCTCACTGTTTGATTATTTAGACAAGAGTTTAATTGTATATCCCAAGTTGGCCTTGAACTTCTGCCTATGCCTTCTGACTGTTGAGACTGCAGGTGTATGCCAATACACCAAAACACTGTTCTAATACAGCAAATGGTCAATGAATTCAATATGACTTTATCAGGTGTAATGAGATAAAAGTTAGAAGGGCACAAAGAGATACAACTTGGATGCTGGTCCTTTTTGCACTGGCCCTTTCCTATACTGCCAATGTGGAAACAGAATCAAACTTTTAATGCCCATGAGTTAGCTCTAGAAAAGGGGAGATTTAAGAAAAAAAGAAAAAAGAAAGTAAAATAGAAAACAGATTCCTATGGGCATAGAGCTTAGAAACTTAGAAAGATATTCAGAAAAAAAAAAAATGTACAACACTTCTTTATCTGCCTCCTTGTCCCCATATAACCAAGCACTACTACTTTTCTACATGCCACTTCACATAATATTTCTAAGACCATATTTGGCTCTTCTGAGAACTCACCTAAATTTCATCTCCTGACAAAATGAGAGGTCATCTCTTCTTGCCATCATTACTTCAACTAACTGACATAGTTTCGTTTTTATTTGAATTGCATGGACCATATTCCCAAGCACACGAACATATCTAATTAAGCAGAGAACAAATAAAAAAAAAAAAAAAAAAAAAAAAAAAAGATCAAATATGGACAAAAATTAAGATATTCTAAATGCTTTATTTAATCCTTAAGTAAATGTAACTTTAAACATGGTTATTATTTAAATATTGTTTAAGTAGGAACATATACAACTTCTGATTGTCTTACTGTCATAGACTACACTGGGTCTATAATAAAGAATGGCAAATTATTTCATTATTCCTATTATCAGTACATAAGAGGTCTTACCTCTTAAAATATGTCTCTGCTATGTTTAAACAGCAAAATGTTTACCTGACCAGATTTAACATCATTGTTTCAATGCTAGCTTGTCCCAGATGCTCAGAGCTGCCTTCAGTATGATTATCCAGCAGATTCTTCATTATAGCTATAGTTTGCTCCACAAACTGAGTATTGCTATCAGTCAATAATACCTACACAAAAAACAAAATACATTAGTGATATCACATCAATGCACAGAAAACTGATCATAGGACAATGAAACTTGACATGACTATCACATTCATACAAACACAGTGACACACACAGGTACCAATGCCTATATCCAAGATTCATAACTCCAATCACACCCACAGGCCTGAGTTCTTTAGAAGCAGACCAATTCCTAGATTACATGATTCTTTTATCTCTGTAATTACAACAAGTTTTAAAAAATTGTAAGTGGATTATCATGCTAGTACCTAATTAAACAATTTGAAAGAAACACCCTTCATTTATTTCAAACATATTTTTGTATTCCTAGGGAAGGGTAAAAAATCAAAGTAGAGAAGACGTCACCTGTCCTTGAGAGTCAAAAAACTTGCTGATGGTATTCTTCAGTTTGTTAAACAACATTGGATACAGAGCAGGACTCAACTCCAGACCCACCAGGTCCTTAACATTGGTCCGTATCTGAAGCCCCACTTTCTCATGGTTACACACCATTAAGGACAGAAGCCGGTCCATAAATCTGCTGACAGGTGTATCAACATTCCCTTCTGAAGACATTACGGAAATCATAGACCCTTTGCGCTCACTGACAGGGCCCATAGGTGGGCTGTAGGTTGCTAAGCCAGAGCTGCTTCTCTGTTGCAGGCACACCCCACCAAGTGCACAAAGGAAGCCAGTCATGTTGATCCATTCCTGCAGGGAGTCTGTGTCAGACAAGTCTATGGATCCACCTCCACTGACATGGGACATCCGTCTCTTAACAATGGTCTTATGAAGGCTTTCTGCAACCTAAACACGACATTTTTGTGAAAAGCATGAAGTCAACATAGACTGGATAAAATCATACAAATTACTCTTTCCCATTTTTTCCAGTAGGAAAAGTACATTTTACATTTTAAAAAACAAAGCTTGAAATTACCATGTACATCATTATCTTTTAATTTCAGTTTTATTTTATGTATATAAATGTTTTGCTTGCATGTGTATCTCTATACCTGGTATCCAAAACTCCAGAAAAAGATGTTGGATCCCTGGAACTTATGTTACAGGCCATTCTAAGTCATCAAGCAAGTGCTGGGAATCAAACCCAGGTCCTCTAAAAGAGCAACCAATGTTCTTAACCATTGAGCTGTCTCTCCAGTTCCTACCATACATGTTATTAGAGAGGCACTTAATATATTTTTGTCATAGCTTGACTAACAAAATCCACTTGAAGTGTCAAATTTCTTTTAAAAACCTCTGGTGTACATGGATGAACCTTAAAACAAGTGAAGAGGAAAGATAGTCACAAAGGCCCGCATAATCTATGATCCCATTTGTAAGAAATGGCCTGAAAAAGCAATTTTTTATAAATAAAATATAAATTAGCAGCTGCTCAAGGCTGAAGGTGTGGACACAGAAAGATAGGAAAAATGGCAAGTCAGAGCTAGAAATAGCTAAAGGGCACAGGCTTAGGGGAGGGGATATTCTTTGAGAGGATAAAAATGTATTGAAATTGTGTATTGGTTGACAGTTACACAATTCTGTGACTATATTTTAAAAAAAAAAAAAAACCCACTGGATTGGACACTTTTTTAAGATAGGCCCAAAGTTTAAAATGGCATTCAACCTTACAATGGGCCCAACTGTCTGTCCACTAGATCCTTTTTTAGAGTATCTAACAATTTGGGAAGTTCAGGCAAGAGGATCAATGCAAACTCAGGGACAGCCTGTTCTACAAATTGAGTTCTAGACCAGCAGCGACAAACAACCATGTTTGTTGTAAAACAAACAACATGAGACTTGTTAGAAAATTTATTTTTCTCTATCTGCAGCTGTTACATCTTTTCTAAAAGTTCTTTGAAATACTTGGATGAAGGAAGAACAAGAAAACGTAAATGAATGGTCCCCTAGCTAAGTGGTTTCTGGCAGAGGTATTTCTGTGATGATGAAACATTTCACATCTCTACTGTCCAACAAAGCAAATAAATGCTCAACTTTGGCTAGTGTAAAACTGAGAAAATAGGTTTACTTCACTTAAATGAGTTACAACGTACATTCTAACAGATACATGTAGCTAATAGCTATAAGATTAGGCAGTACAGGCCTAGATGTTCTTAAAACAACTCTATACTGTCTACTACTCTGAGTAGCTCACAACAGATTACTTAAGTGAAGCAACAGATCAATCAATACACAAAAATTCATTGAACAAACTTACCTGGCCATCTTCCATTTTGGCTTTCGGATAGTTAAGGATTAGTTTTGTAGCCTGTTCCCATTTTGCATGTGTATCTTCCCAAGCCTAAAATGAAATTAATTATCACTAGGAAGGAAATTTAGTGGTGGACTCAAAATCAACATGTAACTGCCAGGTTTTGAGTAGAATTTCCTACTTGTAATATGCACATAGTTCAGAGGAGGTGTCCAACATGAGGGTGGGGGCCTGGGAGGGGTACTGCTGCTGCTGAGACCATACCTCAGTGTTTCCTGCAGTGGGATGCTCAATGCGCCTCAGCAGGGCCATCACTCTCTTCTGAAGTGCTGCTCTTCCTAAGCAGAGACAACAGCAAACCCAGTTAGTGCTTAGAGCCTTCTTCACAACTAGGAACTTGCTATGCCCCACCCAGAGCAGAGTGAAGGAATAGAATGAATGACTCTAATGACCAAGCTGAACACATACTCTCATCAGTCTCTATAACAGTACTCATTTCCAACTCCATAAAGTCTAGAACTCAAAACAGCCATCTCCACACAGATGTTTTAAAATCCCATTTACAATTCAAGGAGAGCAATTTCTATAGTCTACAACTAAAAGCAACTTATAGTGCCAGTTATTAACAAAAGTGTACATTAAAAATTCAGTAAAAACTCTATTTCAAATGTCACTGAATTTCATCCTACCTTGTTCAGAAAAGGATTTCAAGCAAGCAGTTTAAATTATTAGCCCTGGAAACTTTCAAACAGTTATCTTAAATATACTCCACTGTAAAAAATAAATAGATGTCAGCCAAAGTAACAGTTAAAAAGAAAGAAAAAAAATTACCCACATTTACCTGTTGACATCATATTGCTGACAGATGCAAATTCCATGAATGTGTTATAGTTGGGCAAGAAATTGTGTACTGACACTTCATCCACCCCACACCGGATATCTGCTTCCTCACAGAGGTGGCGGAAACAGGACATAGCAACCAGAACAGCTTCAGTGTCAGGACTCCACAGAAACATGTACAAGGCCACTTCTAGCTTGGTCTGGGCTTGACGGCATATTGGTGGGGCTCCACTGCACCCTGCTGTGCTATCCTGAGAGGTAGGGGGCGAAGGGAATTTATCTCCAACTTAGGTGACTTCATTTGCAAACTCAACAATACCATCTATCACTGCACACAAAACTAAAAAGAATTCTCCTTTTTAATCATAAGATCTTTTTCTGATGTACCTTACTCTAAATGAGAGGAGATGAACCAATATAATGCACAATAGTATTGTGTTCAATTCAAATAGGTATTATCTTAGATTTCTGAAATATAAATAAAATCTGTAAGAAATATACAAGACACCAAAACAGAGTCTATCGCAGCAATACTGTGATCCACTTATGAGTTAACCATAAATGACAAAGGAAGATGAAGCAACAGGAAGCACTTCTTAGGAGGAAGGAGTAACTACACGGTAGAACTGACCGAAACAATGACACATAAACAAACACTGCAGCACAAGCTATACTCATCTGATCTGACATTGCCCAACCATTAACTGTAAAAAACACATTACAAAGCAAATACAGAGTATGCAGGCAAAGTAAGTATACACTGCAGCTGCTACAGGGCTTACTGGGGTTTCCCCCTCAATAGGCTACAGTAAAATTTAAGGATGAAAAGGTTATGTCTGAAAACCAAATCCTTCTACGATGATTTTGTAACTGCTCATTTTATGATTTACATCTTAAGCACATTTACACATAAACATAAATATCCTTCAGGGGTAGCAATACATACCTATAATCTCAGCACTTGTGTGAAAGGAGCAAGAGGATCAAGGCCTTCCTGACCTATATGAGACCCATTCTAAAAACTTAAAAGCTCCAAGCATGACTGCCCATGCCTATAGTACCAGCACTTTTAAGGCTAAAGCAGGAGGATTATAGTGAATTCAAGGCTAGCCTGAGTTATAAAATAAGACTGTGTGAATATATAAATACATGTATATATAAATAAATTAAAACTAAAAGCAAAAGAAAAGAAAATCTTAACAACACTTATCCATAATATTTAGCAAGATCAATATTTTGTTTTATTTCAGTCCATTTGAACCTCCTTTAGTTTAACTTCTACATATGAATAGAGACTTTCTTACAGGGTTCACATCAGAATGATTACAGCTACCAGCCCTTGTGTCAAATAATTAAGTGCTATTGACATTTCACCTAGTTTAATCCTCCCAACAACTCTGGAGCAAGAATATTACACCTGTTTTATTTTTTAACTATTATTATTAATCATTTCTGCTTATTGTCTTTCTTCTTTCTTTCTTTCTTTTTTTTTTTTCAAACACAGTCTTACAATATAGACCAAGCCAGCTTCACACTTGTCTCCTCTGAGAAAGAAGAATAAGCCCAATAGTTTAGGGCACTAATAAGTACTTGGCTTGTCCTTCCAGAAGACCTGGGGTCACTATCCAGCGCTACCATTGCATGGGATCAGACGCCCTCTTCTGCCTATGCAGACACTAGGCACACATGAGTGCACAGATATAAGGTAGGTAAAACACCCATAAACATTAAAAAAAAAAAAAGAGAGAGAAAAAAAAGTAAAATTTAAAAGGTCAGGTATGGTGGTAGTCAGACCTCTCAATTTGAGGCCAGCCTGGTATATACAGGAAGTTCCAGAAAAGCCAGGGCTACTTAGTGATAACCTATGTTTAAAAAACAAACAAAAGACCCATTTGTGATCCTCCTGCCTCAGCCTCTGGATTACAGGTGTGTTTCATCATGCCTGCTATCTTCTTGGGGGAGGGGAGAAGTTATTTTTTGTTTTTGTTTTTCCAAGACAGGTTTTCTCTATGTAGCTTTGGAGGCTGTTTGGAACTATGTAGACCAGGCTGGCCTTGAACTCACAGAGATCCACCTGCCTCTGCCTCCCCAGTGCTGGGATTAAAGGCATGCACCACTACTGCCCAGCTGCTATCTCCATTTTAAATCTGAGAAAACTGAGTCACAGAATAGAGACAAATTTGCCCAGGGTTCCACAGTGAGCAGCAATACTCTAAGCAATCTGTAACTAATGTGCAAAATTAATTAACTGAAATTTACTAAAGTCCACTCAGAAAGATAAAGCAGAGATGACAGTACAGGAGACACAAAGGGATGGTACTTACCATGGAGGAATTTCCTTTTCCTTTCCGCAGGGATGCTCCAGGAGTACAGGTTCTTAATAACTCATCATGATCCACTGACATCTGAGTGGTATTTCCACTAGCAGGAACATCACATCCTACTCCACAAAGGAAGAGAAAGTGACAGGAACTTCTATCCGCCTGCTAGAAAAAAAGAAGTGAGTCCCACTGAAGCACTGACGTCTGTGAAAGAAGAGGGCTTAGTGTGGGCTGACCCCGATGCTGCACCTTGAGAAATACTCATTTAACCAATGTGCTAAGGAAGGTCTGTGCAATGTCTCTTTCAAATGCCTCTCAGTTGTGTACTGTCCAACCCAGATGCTTAGTGAAATAAAGTCTATTCCAAGAAAACTACAGTACTTCACATTTTGCCTAATCAGGAAAATTAGAACTTTACTTTTTAAGTTAAAGTTATATGCTGGGTACATTACAGCATTGATTTGACTAGCTATAGCACTTGACCATACACAGCCCCTCACCATGCACACAGTAATGCGATTACATGGTAATTCTATGTTCAATTTTTTGGTAAATATTGTTTGTATTTTTGTGTGTGTATAAGTGAGAGTGCATACATACATGTAATGGGTGTCAGGTGACCTTCTCTATCACTTTTCATCTATTCTTCTGAGGCAGGGTCTGTCCCCTGAACGTGGACAGCTAGGTTGGAAGTCAGCAAGCCCCAAGGATCCTCAAGTTTCCACTGTCTAGAAGCTGAAGTTACATCATGCACTGATACCTACCTGGCTTGTTACTTGGGTGCTGGGATCTTAATTCTGGTTCTTATGACTGATCTTAACTGTCCAGCTCTTTCTCCAGCCCTCAACAGACAACTTTTGATTCACTACTAGATTACTAAGAGGAAAGCATACACAATTCTTTTCTTTTTGTGTGTGTGGGTATTTTGCCTACATTTTTGTCTTTATGCCATGTGCCTGAAAAAGCACATTGTCACACACCTTAGAACTGGAGTTATAGACAGTTGGGAGCTGCCATGTGGGTGCTAGAAATATTGAATCTGGTCCTCTGGAAGAGCAGCCAGTGCTCTACAACTGTAGAGCCATCCTTCCACCCCCACACAAAATTCCTAAGTCTAGTATCTTATCTTTGGGATAAACTTAAGTTCTACTAAATAAGCCAGATGACTCTAAACAAAATTTTGTCATGATGCTTTTAAGGTTTTTCATAGCTACGATTGTAGGCATGGATAAAAATTCATTAAATCAAGTATTCTTTAAACTGAGACATAATAGAAATGCCTTTAAATTGACCATACAAATTTTATGTTTAAAGAAATGTAAGGTTCTTTCCTATTCCCCAAAACTCCAACATGTTTCAACAGTTCAGGATCAAAGAATATTATTACAAATAAAGACGATTCCTGATGACCCTCTCTCTACCATTAAGTTACACCTCCTAGCCTTGTCTGAAACAAGATCTCAATGTGTAGTTCAGGCTGGCCTAGAATCCACTATGCAGTTCAGGATGGCCTCAAACTCAAGCAGGCATCAATAGGACTAGAATTACAGGTATGTGCTGCCATACCCAGCTAAAAGACAAAACCTTTAGGGGAGGTATATAAATTAAACCTAGATTAAGAGCCTTTGCCCTTTAGCTTTATCAAAGATTATTTCCTAGACTAGCTTAGCCCTGAGAGGCAAGTAATATGATATGTACTGACTTAAGAATAAAGAGAAGACAGATTCTTTGAGCCTTCTGTGATTATAATAGCCTCCAGTTTTCATAGGCCTGACCCAGAGTCCTACTTAAGTCAGCCAGAATTCATTAACATTCAGATCATCAGGACAAAGCCTAGAATATTTCAATGTTGAACTGCCAGGCAATGCCCTCTGTACTTTCATTTCTCTTAAGGACTTCATTGAGGGAGAAGCTGATGTAGATATAATCTAGCTAACAAAAACCTCTTAATTTGTCCTGTGCTGGTTAGCTTTTTGTCACCTTGACACAAGTTAGAGTAATCTTAGAAGAGGAGAACTTTAATTAAGAAGATGCCTCAATCATGCTGGTCTGTGGACAAGTCAGTGGGGCATTTTCTTGATTGATGGTTGATATGTGAGGGACCAGCCCACCACAGGCAATCGCTACCTGGTGGTCCTGGGTTGTATAATGAGCAAGCCACAGAGAGAACGTCAATAAGCAGCATTCCTCCATGGTCTCTGCTTTAGTTCTTGCCTTGCTTTTCCCCAATGATGGACTGTCATCAAGACATGTAAGTCAAATTCCCCAACCCAAGTTTTGGTCATGGCGTTTATCATAGCAACAAAAGGAAATTAACATGTCTCCTTACTATTCAAATATTTCCAACATAAGAAATGTCATTGTGCTTACCTTATTTTTAAGAAGAAATTTATTCCTGCAGATCAGAATTTCCCGTAACCACTTGAGAATTTCTGTGCTACTAAGCATTTGATGGCTAGTTAATTTCTTGCAGATGTAAAAAAGCATTTGTGAACTGCAGTAACATAAAGTTCATTGTTACAAAATTATCAAGAACCTAATACAAACATAATCATACATAGAATGGCATTATTTCATAACAGTTGTAAATTTAGAGGCTTGGTTTTCCCTTGTTCATGGGTTTTATCCAAATGTTAATAACAGCAAATTAAAAAGAATTCTTCCTTGCAGTGGTAAGGGTAAGAAGAAATCATAAATTCACATGCACAGCAAAGCCTGCATAGAAATAGAATAGTTGAGAGCCAGGGTCTGCTACAAGACAAAGCCACCCCACTAACTTCTATAAAGGACATTTCCGTGGAGCACAGCCACACCCCTTCGTTCCCATGTGGTATGCAAGTGTTTTCTTGCTCCAAGAGTAAAAGTGCATAGTTATAACAGAATGAATGATCCAAGAATCCTGGCATACTTCCTACCCTTTAGAGAACAAGTTTGCTTACTTGTTCTTGATGCTATACTAAATGTCTAATAGTGAGCTACTAGTCACCACATGACTACATGAACACTTTAAATGATGCTTGTCCAAATTGAGATGCACTTAGTGAGACATACTACAAATTTTGAAGACTTAATGAAAACAAATATAAAAGTCACATTAACAATTCAAATTAATTATATGTTGAAATATTATTTGAACAAGTTAAATAAAATACACTAAAATGTAAGCTTTTTCTTTTATAATGTGTTAAATTAAAAACCAATTACCCATGGCTCCAGTAAATATATCATTATTAGTCTTTAGGTTTTAACTTCACTTCCAAGTGACTCAGCATACCCATGTCTATGATAAGACAACAAAACCTGAGATTTACAGATTTACATCTTCCTAATGTGGTACCATCATTGCTCATTAAAAGACAGCTTTCTCTTCAGTTCAGAAATACAGTGTGTATTTTTTTTTTTACTTATATGCAAGTTTTTAACTTATTCACCAAAATCACCAGTATTTACAGATTTACAAAAGGTCATACATAGTTCTCCCACCCCAGTGTTGGGGACTGAACCCACCACCTCATGCTTACTCATCATGTGCTGTACTATTGAGCTATGAGCCTAGTTTTAAAAATGGGAGCTTTAAAAACTAAAAGCAAGCCTAAAATGTTAACACTTTAGATTTCTAATGTAGAAATCTATTAAAAGCACATCCTCTCTTTCTTCTCTTCTGTTCCCAGTGTCTCTATGTCTCTTTACCTCTTTTCTCTTCCCTTCCCCCCCTCACTCCCCTTTCAAATAAACTTCTCACTCAAAATAAATAAATAAATAAATAAATAAATAAATAAATAAAATCTATTAAAAACATAATTGTAGGGGGCTGGAGAGATGGCTCAGTGATTAAGAGCACTGACAGCTCTTCCAGAGAACCTGGGTTCAATTCCCAGCACCCACATGGCACCTCACAACTGTAACTCCAAGATCTAATACCCTCACACACAGACATACATGCAGACAAAACACCAGTGCACATAAAATAAAATTCAATTATGTAATTAATTAATTAGTTAGTTAGTTGGTTAATTAGTTAGGAAAAAAAAACATAATTGAAGCCAGGCATGGGAGGACACACCTTTAGACCCAGCACTCTAGAGGCAGGTGGATCTCTGTGACTTCAAGGCCAGCCTGGTCAACATAGAGAGTTCCAGGCTAGCCAAGGCTACATAATCAGATCCTATCTCAAAACAATAAACAAAATTATAACTGCGTAGAAGTATATGACAGAGTATAATACTTGACATAGCAGAACTTGTAGCAAGGTGATAAAAATTAGCACCATTTTAAAACTTTACCCATAGCAAAACACTAATGCAAAAAAAAAAAAAAAAAAAAAAAAAAAAAAACTCTTCTGTTTGGCATATGTGTGATATTTCTGACAGTTAAATATTCTAATATTTTGAATCCAAAAAAATATAAAATCATAAAATATCTATAGGTATAACCGAATAATATCACAATGAACTAAATACTATAAATCTAATATTCAAAAACAAAATACAAAATTAAAATTGTAAACTGAATTAAAATTTGAAAGTACACATACCTAATTTCCCAAAATGTCTCTACAGGAGCATCAGGGTTCCATAAATCGATGCTATCTAACTGATGAAGAACCAGCAAGGCCTGAAATTTAAAGGAGAGAGAGAGCCCACTGAAAACTTTTTAGAAAATTGACACTGTAGTGATTATTTTGCAAATGCTAACACAACAGGCTGAAATACAGGGAAAACAACTTTTCTACGGGTGGACCTGAAGAACACAATTCTCTAGAGCATCAAAACACAGCAGAAATTAACTCGATTGTCACACATTTCTTGGTCAGAAAAGTTATTTTCTAAAATTAACAGAGGGCCAAACAAAGCAAACTTTGTACCTTTCTGGTACTTGAGGGTTTTCTGTTGTCTCTTCATACAGTAGCACAGATTTGATTGGGAAATTAAAGCACTCACTTTCTTCTATTCTATTGAAATTTTGCAAACAAATACATGTAACAAGATGGAAAGATAAAAAGCAATGAGGAGCAATCCTTATGGGCTCTGTTGCTTCAGGGGTTCTAGTTCTCTATTACAGGAAAGTGGGGAAAGTTTTTTATATGGAAAGAAAATAAGGCATATGAAGGTTTTCTTTTTAGAGGATGTTAAGCTGCTTAAGTACATCTACGTTTTTGAATGACTTCAAGTTATACATACAGTGAAAGGGGAGAAGGCAGTATTATAGTATAATATAAAGAGTGTATGGTATGGTATGGTACGGTACGGTATGGTACAGTATGGTACGGTACGGTGTGTAGTGTAGTGTAGTGTAGTGTAGTGTAGTGTAGTATCAGAGGTTGGACCCTGCCATTTACAAATGGTTTGGGCTCAAGTAAGATTTAAGTATTTTAGGTGACACATTTAGTAAAACTTTTGATTAATGTGAACAAAAATTCATTGGACATTTTGCATTTCAATAAGATTATATTTTTTAATTTCCTCCTGTTTTAATTTTACATACTGCTATATGTTACTTGATACCTTGAGAAGTGCCTCAAAGGTGAATCTGTCATTGTGCCAGTATTACAGAGCATACTGACATAAACTAAGGTGGCTATGGGGTGATTAGATGATATAATTTGTTAGGAAACACTTTAACATATGTAGTTCATTGTTGATGAAAATACTGCTATAAAGTACATGACTTACTACTTCAACAAAGCTGCAAATACATTATTCTCATCTAATATTTCATAAATATTTTCAAATATTGCTGAATGATACCAATAAGTTTTAATGGATGTTCTGTAGCATGTCAAGGTGAAGTACACTGTTAAATATTAATCTATTCTCTTATTAATTGATAATTAAAGTCCTCCTGAATGCTCTTTAAAAAAGGAACAAACATGTATTTTTTTTACCTTGAATTATACATAATATACAGAAGAAAAAAATGTAAGAATTAATTATCTCGGTGAAAACAAAATATTTGAAGAAATCCTCCAAAAAGAGTTCAAGCAATGCATCAGTTTCTAGGATGAATAGTGATACACAAAGACACACACACACACACACACACACACACACACACACACACACACACAGCATATCCATGTACAAGGAATGCACAAGTGTTCTAAGTAAACATTTCAAATATTTCTCCTTGAAGCACAAGGTATACAGTACAGGAGATAATCTGGAGAGGAGAGCTCAGAGAGTTTTGGTGTGTCCCACCATTACCTGCTCAATTCTGCCAACACCAGGAAGCCCTTCAGAACTCATGTCCCAGGCATCAGCTCTTTGTAAAAGCAGCCACTGTTTTAAATGTCATCACCAGATTGTTTTGCTTGTTTTTAAGCTTTATATAAAGGGAACCAACAGTATATAATGTTTGCATTTGGTTATTTTCATTTATTATGTCTGTGAGATTCATCCAATTTTTGTACTCATCAGTAACTCATTTTATTTTACTTTTAGATAGTGTCTTCCTAAGTAACCCTGACTGTTGGTATAAAACAAGACTTTTTTTTTCTTTTTTGCAATGCTTGGGAATTTACTCAAGAATAATGAAAAATCTTTTCACATCTTAGATTTATATAGAAGGGAGCCTAGAACCTATCAATGTTTCTTTTTATCTTCTTTCTCATCCTCCTCGTCATTTTGGTGACAAAGCCTTCCTCTGTAGCACTAGGTGGCCTTGAACTTGGCAAGTAGACCAGGCTGGTCACAAACACACAGAGATCTGCCTGCCTCTGCTTCCTGAATGCTGAGATTGACAGTGAATACCACCATACCCAACAAAAGTTCTATTTCTAAACAGCCAAAAGCAAAAATACAAATGATCATCAACAGATAAATGGGTAAACAAATTGCACTATATTCATATAATGGGACAATCAACAGAATAAAATAGGATGAGCCTTGAAATAAAATCAACTACAAACACAATACAGTTATAGCAATTATGCTAAACTACAAATAAGAACTTTTATTCCATGAATATAAAATGCAAACTAAGATACAATAATAAAGCAAATCAATGATTACTAAGGAGGCAAGGGCCAGACAAGGAGTGAGACAGGATGGGGACTGCAAAGGAATACAAGGCTAATGTTCAGTAGTAATGGATGCTGTCTTCCAATGAGCCTATCAATGAATGAATAGAATATTCATTAACAATCAGGAAAAGGTGTCTAATAACACCTAAGAATACAAAAGAATAATAAAAATTGCTTCCTAATTTAAGGGGGGGGGCAAAGTAAGATTACATTTGGTGAACTTGCAAAACTAACCTAGAAGGACAGAATCAGACCAGTACATGTAGAAAACGGTAGGCGTACTAACTGCAGAATGAGAAGTAACTGGGGTGAATAGAGATATTCTAACTCTTAAATCACTTACTATATGTAAAATACACACCAATAAATTTTATTTAGATTGAAGATGTACTTTTAGGTTATCAGTATAAAAAATAACTTGAATTAGATGCCAAGCCTGACAACTTGAATTTGATCCATAGGATCCAATAGTGAAAAGAGAGAACCAATTCCTTCAAGTTATTCTCTGACCTCTACATGTATGCTGTGTATGTACATAGCCCCATATAATAAATAAGTACATGTAATTTTGTTGTTGTTTTGAGATGGGGTTTCTCTATATAGTTTTGGCTATTCCAGAACTCATTCTATACACCAGACTGGCCTCAATCTCAGAGAGCCACTTGCTTCTTCATCCTGAGTGATGGAACTAAAGGTATGAGCTATCAAGCACAGCTATAAATATAAATTTTCTAAAATCAACTTTGTTAACACAGTAGGCTGGCTATCATTTAAAAACAGACAATACAAGTGTCAACAAGGATGGAGAAATACCAAAACACTAATATACTGCTAATGGAAATAAAAAATGATATAGTAATTTTAACAGCATTATTAATAGTAATCCTCAAATAGAAAAAACACAGAATGTCAATCATCAATTACCTGGGGCTCATCAGGTAAAGGTACTTGTTACATAAGCATGAAAATCTTACTTCAATCCCGGGACCATGAAGACCAACCCCACAAGGTTGTCCTAACTTCCAGGCATGTGCCACTGCAAGTACACACACACATCATGCACAAACACAATAATAAATTCAAGAAATAAAGAAATCATAAACTTCCAAATTTTTTTATGCAATGCAATCCAAATATAGCATGACATGTGACATGCAAGTATAATTTCAGCTAGTTCAAGGGCTGAAGAAGGAGGATTGCTTCAGGATTTAGAGGCCAGACAAAAAATATTGTAAAATCCTGTCTTAAAAACAAACAAACAAACAAATGTAAAAGAAATTGTAGGGGTTGGTGAGACAGCTACAGCTGGTAAACGTATATGCCATCCAAGGTAGAAACTTGAGTTTTTTTCTGACCTCCACATGCATATACAATTTAAAAACAAAAACAAAAAACAAAACCACCACCCTCTTCTGGCATCCTAAGGCAATGCAAACACACAGTACATATATATACACATGCACACAAAACATCCATACACAAAAGATAAAAATTCTTAAACAATAATTAATACAATATTGTTTTGTTGCTACCTATAATATAAAGCAAATAACTAGAAACCCCCTCCACAGATCTCATAAAACATAAAGACACAAACATATCACTTCCAGAATAGACTTCCATTAATCACTCATTGAAACTATATACCAAAGAACATCAAAAAAGGACACAGAGGAGCTAGAGGATCAGGGGCTCAAGGATTAAGTGTAGAAGGTTCATGCAGAGGATCCAACTGCAGGTTCCAGTACCCACAAGAGGTGACTCACAATGACCTGTAACCTCAGCTCTGGGGATTCCAACACTTTTTTTTTTTTTGGTTCCTGTAGACACTACATACACACTTTAAAAATTTTTTAAAAAGAAAGCACACTGAGTCAAATAATTGAAAAATAAAGTACCCAGAAAAAGAATGGAGAAAGTTACAATCTTTCTTTCAAGATCCAAGAATTAACTTCCCCTTACCTCCATTGCTTCCTGAGCAATCTCTGGCATGTGTGACTGAGGGACCAGTTGGACAAGCCCTGTGATTAATTCTGCTGTACTGCCTTGAGTTTCAGGGCCCTGTTTTCTTGGGTTCTGCGAGAGAAAAGCAAATTTTATTTTTTATTAAATTTATTTATTATTTATTTATTTAGGTGTGTCTCTGTGTGTACACGGTACATGTGTGCAGGTGGCCATCAAGGCAGAAGAGTGCTGAATGCCCAGCTAGGAACAGAGCTCTTCACTGTGGAAAAGCAAGAAGTGTTCTCAAGCACTGAGCCATCTCCCCAACTCCTTCAAACTTCATTTTTGTTTTGTTTTTCGAGAAAGGGTTTCTCTGAGTAGCACCGGCTCTCATGGAACTCACTCTGTAGATCAAACTTGCCTTGAACTCAGATATTACCAGCCTCTCACCACCTGGCTCAAACTTCAATTTTTAAAAGAATGTATTGGCAGGATTATGAGGAATAAAGTAAAGATCAATTGTAAACAGCTAATTTCCTTTAGAAATAATGAAAATGTTCTAGAAATGACAAATGGAAGGGAGAATACTAAGCAGACTGAACCTATGGTCTCATTCATGAATATGAAGCAAGCTATAGTTTAACCATGAAATGTTTTTTTCTTTTATTGTATGTGAATTGTAACTCAATAAAAATATAGTTTTTTAAAACCAGAGCAGTGGTAGGACATGCCTTTAATACTAGCACTTGGGAGACAGAGGCAGATAGATCTCTGTGAATTTGAAGCCAGCCTGATCTATAGAATGAGTTCCAGGTCTGCCAAGGCTACCATATCAGTAGACTCCTAATTAAACAGATAACAGCTTTTCAACTTAAAAAAAAAAAAAAGAAAGTATCATGGCTAAGGATATAAATCAATACATTCTCAGCACCACAAAGGAAAAAGAAAAAATTGTACATACCAGTAATCCAAGGGTTAAGTATAAAAGTCCTGTTCAGTGCACACAGCTGAGCTGTCAATGTAGCTTAGCTGGTAGAATGCTTGCTTAGCACACAAAAAGCTCTGAACTCTATTCCAGCACTTGGGAGAAATAGGTAAGAGGATCAGAAATTCAAGGCCACCTTTGATTACATAATGAATCAGAGGTCAGCCTGGGTTACATGTAAACATGTCTTAAACAATAAAATCAACATAACTACTGTTAAAGAAAGCAATATTTCAAGGCTGGAGAGATAGCTCACCCATTAAAGCCTTGGCTCATAACAAAAAAAATATAAAAAAAGCAATAATTCAGTCACTGTGGGAAAATCCCTTCATTTACTAAGAAATTACTACTCTTCCTAAATGTGAAATTTACATATTTCAACAAAGTGTTTCTGATAATTTGGGAAAACCTATTTACACTTAAATAATATATGGTTTGCTGGCATGACAGTGCACACTTCTAATCCTAGCTGTTAGGAGGCTGAGTCATGAGGCTCTTGAGTTCAGGACTAGCTTGGGCTGCACAGAGAGACCCTACTTGGAAAACCAAAGAGGGAAAAAAACAAAACAAGCAAAAAAAAAAAAAAACCACACATATGGTTCATTTAAATAAAACCAACTGAATTTATATCTGCATTTTATTTTGTTGATTACATATTCTTCTTCATTATAATGTCTAACATATATTCTCACTCTAGTATGTATACCTGTCATCCAAACTCTTGTCCATTTTCTGATGCTCACTATTCATTTATAACTCTATAAAATTTGTTGGACAGCAAAGACATAGCAGAAAAAAAAAAGAAATATGTTACCTGGTGTGTTGGCACAAGTCTTTAATCCCAGCACTCAAGAGGCAGAGGCAGGTGTATTTTTATGAGTTTGAGACCAGCCTGGTCTATATATCAAGTTCCAATACAGTCAGAGCTGCATAACAGGGAGACATTGTCTCAAAAAGACAAAGAAGACAAACCAGAGGAGGAGGAAGAAAATAAAGTTGTTCCTACCTCCCAACAGTCTTATGAGGAAAGCAAGTTTTAATTAAATTACTAAATAAATAATCAAACTACAAATGAGTTAAGAGCCATCAAGGAATGTGGTCGAGTCAGTGAGGTCTCCATAAAGCAGACATTATAACTTAGTGCAGAAAAACAACTAGGTGATGTAAGAAGTGAAGGTAGTTAATAAGGAAGCTGGAAAATATGGAGTAAAACAAACCAGGACAAAGATGGTAAAAACAGAAGATAGAATCATATTACTTTTAAAAATACCACATTTGAGGCCATGTTTACATTTCTCCTATTAATGAAGGTTTAGAATTTATGAGTAAAATTCTATTTTCTTATGGTTACTGGGGAAAGTTAGTTATCCACTAGATGGCGGCAAAGGAAGCAATTTCCGCGTAGCTAGGATGCTGTCAGAAGCAGTGACAGTTGCCTATCAAACAAAACCCCACCCACTCACTGAACTCCACCAAAGAAAACAAAAGCACAACAGAAGGCAGGGGCAGGCCAGTGATAGAACATTTGTCTGTATTACAAGACTACTAGACTCTGGCTCAACCTTCAATATCATCAAGGAAAACAAAAAGGATTTCTATAATTCTTGGAAAATAGCATATTTTACTTAAACTCTTCAATTCAAACAATTCCATCCTTGTTCTTCAAACAATAACCTACTTAATGTGGAAAACACTCGTGACTCTGGTTTATTGTTGAATATAAATTACACCCATGTGAACAGAGTAACCCTAGTATTATGTGGCATTCATACTGAGATGTCATAACTCATGTCACACACCAGAGAAACCAAGAGAAAAAGTGTTATTATTTCAGAGTCGACCGACAAACTTTATGGAATTTTTCCAGGTCAGGGATCTAATTACATATTGTACTAGAATCTCAAATTTTGGGAGGGCTTTCCAGAAAACTCAAAACCCTCATATATTTTCTTTTGGGGTAACTGATCCTTTGGGAACTTAATCCTGTCTGTCTCTACTATCTCTCATTATCAGAAAAACTGATCATGTGTAAATATTTTTTAAATTCTGTAGTGAAGGCATGATGATTAAGCCCAGTATTACCAGCAAGGATGTCTAGTTTAAGACCAACCCAGGATACACAGGAAGACTTTGTCTCAAAAAAATCAAACAAAAACACATTCGTGCACATGTGCACATGCACACATGCAAACTTGAGTTTCATAGAATTCTTGAAACCACAGGCATTTAGTTATGAATGTCTGTATTTTAGTAATTTGAAGAGCATAGCAACAAATCTGTAAAGCACAAAAGCATTTTAAAGGCCTGGCACTCAGTACAACAATAACAAATGTTACTTGACAGTGTTCTCCAAGGATTAGGGAGACTCAAGAAAGTTAAACATATCATCCTATGAACAATTCAAGTTATTTTATTTGGACATTAATAAGGTTAATGCTGTCTCTTACTAACAATAGCAGCAACCTGCTTATAATCTATTATCTAAAACAGAACAAGGACAAATGATGCCACTAAAGTCAGTTCAATGATAAGGCAAAGGTTAGAAATTATATTAGAATTCTTTGAAAATAGTTTTCTTGGCAATGTCTTAGAGCTTGTTACTCGTGATTAGAGAGGATTTTGTCCTTTCAGTTCAACTAAATTAGTGGAATAATTTCAAAGCATTTCATTAAAATACTTACACAAAGCAAAAGCTTTGGGTCTGCATGAATTAGTTTCACCATGGACAAAAGAAGATACTTATAGCTCCTTGTCTCCAGGTCTGTAGGCTTTTCTTTAAATTTAAGGCTTGTTACCTTTTCTTTAAATGTAAGACTCTAGTAACAAAACAAAAACATGACAGCAACTTAGTGAGAATCAGACATCAGATTCACAGTAATAGCTATGCTTTATTGAAGAAATTATTTACAAAGCTCTGAAAATAGACACATTCCACTCCATACCACCAAACGGATACTAGTAGAACCATAAGCAAATTAAGCATAAATTTAACATTGCATTTTTAAAAAACTTTATATAGCATTTACATTATTTATTTATAATAGTACAGTAAGCTTTAATGAAAACCTAAAGCACTAAAGGAATAATATTAATTTGGCTCCTTGGTAAAAAAAGAAAATAAAAAGAACAAAACAAACTACTTTTCAAAATTATGAAAATGTAAGAGGAAAAATATTGGGTCTGTATCTTATACACATATACACACTGGGGAACTCAAATTAGCAAACATACCACACACATGCGCACGCGCGCACACAAGGGCAACATTATCAATTTTAAGATACACCACTTCTTGGCTGTAGCCAAAGAAAGGAAAAACTACTGTAAATCCCAGGATACTGCCCAAAGGGACATAAACATTTACTTTCAGACAGAAGCAAAAATAACATTCTTTGGAACTGAAGAAACATTCTCTGTAGGCAACCTCTGTATTTAAGCTTCAGTTATGAATTACTTTTTTGTTTTGATGGTATTTCCTCCTTCAAGTTATAGAATACATCTATTTGGCGACAATGTGGTTCAATTAAAGAGATACTATGGACAATTAAATAATCATGGACTTCAATCAATCAATCAAAAAAAAAATCGAGAGTTCAGCAATTAATGGCACTGACTGCTATTCCAGAGAACCACGTTCACAACACAGCACCCACATGGCAGCTCACAATTGTTTGTAACTCCAAGGTCTGACACGTTCACACAGACATAGCTGCATGCAAAACACCAAGGCACATAAAAATTTAAAAATTTTAAAAATATTCCAACAATTACATTCTGGGTTCAATGTTACTTTACTCTATTTTCTCTCTAGTCTTATCAAATATTTCCTTTTTTCCTTTAACACCACAAAAAGAATCTGTTTTCAACCTGGTACCTGCAGTAAGCACATATAGATACAGGGGCCTGGGTGCCTGCGGTGAGGATATGTGGATACAGGGAAAACAGACATTTTTTGGCCATGACAAACATCTCCTCAAGTTAACAATTGGAGATGAGACATTCCATGATATATACATGTCTCAATTTACTAGTGTTTAAGAAATAAAATACTCAAACTCTCCAACACTAAGGCAAATGTTTATCAGATGTATTTAGTAAGTTCTGTGTAGTGTTTGCTCTTGCTAAATCATAGTTCTCTCTCTCTCTCTCTCTCTCTCTCTCTCTCTGTGTGTGTGTGTGTGTGTGTGTGTGTGTGTGTGTTTCTCAAAGTCTAATTTGAATACAAAGTCTAACCTGAATCAAGTTGAAACCTACACTGAACAAATTTACTGATATAATGCAGTGTAATGTTGCCATTGCACAGGAACCACACAATCAGAGAACAACTAAGATGTTAAAAATTTTTTCTCTGATTTAATAATCATGTTTTAAGTAATTTTTAGTTTAATGTCAAGTACTAACATGTGAATTTTGTTCTACAGTACAACTGACTAGTTGGAAATCTAAGACTTGAGAAATTTCAATAGTTCTTTTAATTTAATGGCCATTAGTGGGTTGCATAAAATCTGGAATAATTTGCTGCTTCAGAAACAATTATTTCTTAAGTAGAAATGTTTTTAAAAAAAAAAAAAAAAAGACATTTTAGGATCTAAACAGACACATGCATACATTGTGCTTGGGAGAAAGACAGCTATACCAAGCAAGAAATTCCTAAGCCAAAGGTTCAGGTAGTTAATTAGGAACCAGAAACATCTGCTAATTTAAGACTATGAGACTGACTTACAGGCATGGTAAGAAGTATCTATGCCAACATCACTTAAATCTAAAAGATCTAAATTGTTTATGTGGTAGAGATATAATCCAGATACAGAAATTCACCCACTAATTAATTAAAAAACACATACTACATACCCAAAGTGTGCCTGGCACTGGTCCAGGAGCATAAGAGGCTGTGATGAAGCAGTAAAAGCTTCATTATCCATCAAGCTAACTTGCTATTGAGATGGAACAACTTATGAACTGAGCAGGAACTAGAATGGATATCAAAACCCCTTAAAACTAACTCTGCCTGACCATTTACTAGCCATGTGACATTTTAATTCCTTTAACAATATTTGGCCTTAGTTTGCTTAGCTATCAAACCAAATGAAATACTTTCAACAAGTTGAAAACATAAAATCCCATCCAGCGAAAGATATAATATAATAAAAACTTTGGAAACTGGTTAAGTTTATCCAAAACATCTTCAGGGCTACTCTGCAGACCAGTCAAAAAGAGGAACTATGATTGCTAAAAGTAACAACAATTTATTTTTATCTTGTTAAAGAAAAAAAGGCTAAGTAGGTTTTTTTTGTTTTGTTTTGCTATTAAAAAAAATTTTTTTACATGTGCATTTTCCCTTGTGTGTATGAATATGCACCAGTACATGTTGGTGATGGCAGAGGTCTGAAGAAGTGCCAGGATCTTCATGAGCCACCTTGTGGAGGCTGGGAACCAAACTCAGGTCTTCTCTAAGAACAAATGTTCCTAACTGCTGAGGCATCTCTCTAGACCCCAAGTAACTACTGCTTTCTACCGACTAATTTACCTCCAAAATAGCAACCAGTTGTCAGGCTTTGAAACACATATAAGTTTACCCTTTGATGGAGCTGTGTTTTGAAACAAGATCTTACTGTGTAGCCCTGGCTGGCCTCCAATTCATGACCAGCCTACGATACCTAAGAGCTGGGATTAAAGGTGTGTTCCACCATGCCCAGCCACACAGAACTCCTGAATTGCTACTTGTGCAGCAAAGTGAAGGCTCAGATTCCTAAATCTCCAAACCATTTGAAGCAATGCAAACAAGGAGCAGCCATGACCCTAGTATGAGCACCAGGCATACCTGTTGCCTGTTCAAACACAAGCACAAAGAGGAGCGCTGCTTACCTTAAGATTCCCAGACTCTAAAGTTCTCTTACTCTATACAATCGAGTCACATTAATCTTCCACTTTCTCTGATGAAAATATTAATCAGGGCCAGGCAGTAGAGGTGCACGCCTTTAATCCCAGTAAATGGGAGGCAGAGGCAGGTAGATCTCTGTGAGTTTGAGGCCAGTCTAGTCTACAGAGTGAGCTCCAGGACACTCAATGCTACACAGAGAAACTGACTTGAAAAACAATAAATAAATAAATGAACTAGCCAGAAAGTTTTCCTACAACCATTACACGCACACATTCAAAATTCTATACAGAGGAATATACAAAGCTTTAAAACACTGGGAAGAGCTAGAAATATGGCTCAGTGTTTGAGTGTGTACTCCTTTACCAAAGGACTCAGTTCCCAGCACTCATGTCAGGTGGCTTACAACTACCTGTAACTCCAGCTCTAGGGGCAATCTGATGCCTCTGGCCTCCATGGGCACCTACATTCATGTGCACATACAATCACACATATTCATGTAATTAAAAATAATGAAAATGAATCTTTCAAAACACTGGGAAGGTGGAAGCAGGAAGACAGTGAATTCAAGGTCAGCCAAAGCTACATGGCTTGTATCCCATAGGGGAAAAAAGCTTAAAAATTATTCTGAAAATGAAATATATATATTGATACTTCCAAAAATAATAAAAATATGAACAAAACAAAATTCCTTTCATAGATGTCCTTGAACCACAAGAAATCCTCTATAATTACAACTTTAAGGAAAGTGATTGGGGGCTGGAGAAATAGCTCAGCAGTTAAGGGCACTGACTGCTCTTCCAGAGGATCCAGATTCAATTCCCAGCACCCACATTGCAGCTCACAACTGTCTGTAACTGTAAGATCTGACAGCTTCACAGACATACATGCAGGCAAAATACCAATACACATAAAATTTCAAAAAATTAATTAAAAAAAGAAAGAAAAGTGATCATAGCATACAGTAGAAATCATAGAGTCAACTAACAATCAAATCTAAGAAACTCCTAAGTATTAAATATATCAGACTACCAACCAAATCTGTGGCTGCTCAAAAGAATGAATGAGGTTTATTTTGTTTCAGCACTCATGCATAAAAATTAAATGGCAGAGATGTTAGGTTGGGTATAAAACAGGAAGCAAATATGATTCTCTCACCAATTCCTATTAGATCTCTTACCAACATAAGGAGTATAAAAAACAGTCTTTTTTGTTGTTGTTGTTGTTGTTGTTGTTTGTTTTTGTTTTTTTGCAATGCTGAAAATTGATCCTAAGGGCCAATGCATATTAGGTAATACTTTACCACTGAGCACATAGTAATCTGGCAGTGGAGATACAGCTCAGTGCTACAGTGGTACACAGTGAAGGCCCTGGTTTTGACTGTTAACATGTTCTACTAATGCAAAAACAAAGAGGTAGGGGAGTGAGTTAAGATATTATTAAAGCTTAAAGAAAATAATGTCTAGTTAAATAATATTTACATAGCTCTTATATATGTTATCACTTACATATATAACTGCAACAAATTTTTTAATTAAAAAAATACTGTGAGCCAGGCAGTGATGGCCCATGCCTTTAATCCTAGCACTTGGGAGGCAAAGGCCAGTGGATTTCTGTGAGTTTGAGGCCAGCCTGGTCTTCAGAGTGAGTTCCAGGACAGGCTCCAAAGCTCCAGAGAAACCCTACCTCAAAAAACAAACAAAAAAACCAAAAGATATTGTGTATTTGTCATCATAAAAAGTCAACTAAAGTAAGCTTGCATATTAACTCTTATTTAATAAAATCCCATAGGGGCAGGGGGTATAGTACAGTACACGTCTGGCATTCATCAGGAACCTGGGATTGACCTCCAGCACTGAAGGAAAAAACCAAAACATCAAAAATAATAATAATAATTTAAAAACGATCTGCCCCCTTTGCTATTAATTAGGACAAATAATGCGAAAGTTCCTTCAATAGAAAACCTCTTCATTTGAATACCTGGTATAATTTTTTAAATCCTGAAAAACTACTACTGACAACTGGAAAGGAGTGAACGTAACTGTATGAAACAAAGTATTTTGTATATTTTATATACTGACCATAGGAACTTGGGAAGAGAAGCATGCCAGGGAGGAAACTGCTTAAAGTGCAAGATGGATAGTTTATTAGATAAAACCAGTAGGTGAAAGCATGCTACATTTTCTTCTGAAATGATATGATGTGACTACAATGGTAACTATACACAGAAAAGTCAAAGAAATAATGGACTTTTCTGAGGTAGTTACAAGGGGTCATATATACTTACAGCCACAGAAGCCCACTGCCATGCAAAACAGTGACTGGTTGGCATCTGACCATGTGAGCGACAGCAGCCAATAAGAATAGAAAATAAGCAGAAGACAAAGCACCACCAATCAATGTCAAGAGTTGCCATGTAAATGCTCTTCCTACATACAGACAGAAATCACGTACACAACGTTTTTATTAGCTATGGAAACTCACTTTCTATGAGCTTTAAATTCTCTTGGAACACAATTTCTAGGTATGCCTTTGTTAAGTTTAAATAAACATCAATGTCAAAGTGTCTATCAATATTTGCTCAAATTTTGCTAAATGATTCTATTTACTAAGATCTTTAAGTAGAGAATGTTTTAGTTCATTTCTAATTTTCTGTGTACTATTCAGCATCAGGACATTCACTCTAACCCAAGGGTATGGTTCTGTTGCTCATCCTTGAAAGTGAGAAGCAAATCAAACACCTAGTAAGAAAAAGTTAACTGAAAACAGAAGAAAGGTGACATTCACTAGGATATTATAGCATTTTCTGGAAACTGTTTCTTTAAGAATTAAGTTCACTTAACAGACGTAGTGAAAAATAGACCCTGTTAACTAGGCAGCAGTGGCACCATAATACACCATACACAACATCCGTGGGGAAGAGAGGAACCATTCAACCCTCTAAACTCAAGTCAGCAGGAATGACAGGTGGAATTCAAAAATCATGGTTTCTTACTGGTGCCATTCGTATTGCTGGGTGTGCTCCACAGCCCTGCACTGCTTTATGAAGTGTTTCACCGAACATATTTCGAAGTTCAACTGAGTGACAATATACAGCATCAATCTTAGGCCACCAATCCAATGCAGACTAGAGAAAAAAAAAAAAAAAACGAGAGAACATAGAGTACAAAAATCACTTAAGTGGTATACTCTTTTACCACTGCAGTTCTAGCTTGTATTCCTTTGTGAGAAACTTCCTAAGACCATGCAAACACACAATATGATTTTCAAAGTCTTCACATGATATATTTAAGTCAAACACTAACCAGACATACTACAATTTAAAATATAATAATGAGCATGTGCAAATGAGGCTGTCCTTTCTCAATAATATCATAATGAATTTAAAACCAAAATATTTGGAAAATTTTTTATTCTTTAGCCAATCTTTGTCTTTTGTGTGTGTGTGTGTGTGTGTTCAACACATTTCAGAAACACATGCATATATTATATATATTTTGCTAGGTAAAAATGCTATCATCATGGCTTTCCATGAAATTAATGGTTCAACACAACGTTGAAAGACTATGTAAACCATTAGCTGAATGCTTACAAACAACAATAATCAACATGAAATTAGTAAATGAAATAAAGCCATTAGTAAACCAATAATTTTTAAGTTGATAAGCAGATGGCACAGTACATAGAAGACTAAATGGTCACCAAAAACGAAGACAGCTGAACCTACCTAAGTACTTTTATTTTTACAATGCTAGAGACTAAAGCCAGACCTTTGGGGCTTTTATATGTTAAGCAAATGGTCTACCATTCAGCTATATCCTTAGATAAAGCTAAGGATTTTTAAAATAATTATTTTATATAGATATTTTTCTATTTCTGTTTACCCTACCTAGCTGGTTTATAAAGTCTATTTTAATTAAAAGTATATTTTAATGACCTTTACTTTAAATTTAATTAATATATTTTAATTTTTAAATGCTTCAAAAATGATAATTGTGAAAATTCACTAGAGTTTATTATCAGCTTATAGAAAAAGGATCAGATAAACTTTCATAACTTACACAGCTTACACATGAAAACAATAGGCTTAAAATATAAATTGTCACTTGTAATATTCTGACTAAAAATATGATAGAATAATTACATATTCATATAGTAAATACAGGTAATTTGACAGCTTCACACATTCTACTCATAATTTATTTTTTATTCAAAATCAAGCTAATCTTAACATTTAAGTTCTCAATCATAACTCAGTATTGTTGTGCTTCAATCTCTATTTACAAGAACCCTAAAAAGAAAACTCAGGCTGGGCGTTGGTGGCGCATGCCTTTAATCCCAGCACTCAGAGGCAGAGGCAGGTGGATCTCTGTGAGTTCGAGGCCAGCCTGATCTACAGAGTGCCAGGACGGGCTCCAAAACAATATAGAGAAACCCTGTCTCGAAAAACCAAAACAGAAAACTCAGGCAGGCATAGTGGTGCACACCTGTAATCCTGACACAAGGGAGGCTAAGGCAGGAGAGAGATCAAGGATAGACCGGGCAACACAACAAGACTTCATCTCAAGAAATAAATAAAATAGGAGAAAAGTAGTTTGGCAGTTAAGAACACTTGCTGCTCTTACAGAAAACCCTGATTCAATTCTCAACACCCACATGGTGGCTCACAACTATCTGGAACTGCCTGTAACTCAGGTTCCAGGGGATCCAACACCCTCTTCTGGCCTCTGCAGGCACCAAACATGCATATGATGCACAAGCATATAAGCAAAACAACTGCAAAATTAAAAATTCATTTAAAATTTAAAATTAAAATTCATGGTTGTTTTTCTATGAGTTACTTAATTTAGCTAAGTACTGAAAACTAACAGTTTCTTTTTTCAGGTGGTTGCAATTAAATACTCTGACAAAAGCAACTTAAAGGTGAAAGAGTTTATTTAGCTCACAGTTCTAAGTTACAGTGGAAAGGAAGTCACAGAAGCAGGAACTCAAGAGAGCTGGTCATATCAAACCCACAATCCATAAACTGGGACAAAGAGTATTGGTGAACACAAGCATTCTAGTGCGAACTTCTTTCTCTACTCCACTGCCTAGGGAATGATGGCACACAGTGAATAGGGGTCTTCCTACCCGAATTAACATAATCAAGATAATCAGTCCTTCATGGACATGCTCAAAGGCTCATCTTCAAGTCTCACAAAGCCAGTAAGACTATCACCACAGTTAACTACCACATTTCTCAACTCTAGGGGACCGGTTTGCCCAAGTCAATCAATGCAACTGCATTTCTATGTTTTTTTTAATTGTCTTCAAAGTAACAAAATGCTGAATTATTAAAAAAAAAAAAAAAAAAAAAAAAAAAAAAAAAAAAACAGTGCACTGAGATCCTACTTCTTCCTACACACTGCATAACATCTTGCCAGAAATTGATAAACTAAATAGGCAGGCATTCTTTTTAACAACCTATACAAATTATTGGGGAACTGTTTGCTTTGTGACACAGGATCTTGCTGGAATTCAGTATGTTGTGCAAACTAGTCTAGAGCTTGCTATTCTTCTGCCTTAGCCTCTAGAATACTGAGCAACCAGCTTACTGCATAAGCATTTTTGATAACTGTAAAAGTGTACCATGGTAATAACATATATTAACTTTCAGGCTTAAGATTTAAGAATTTTAATTTTTCTTTGTTCTAAGGTATTGATCCATTTATTTCAAAGTAAAGAATACACTTTCAAATAAAATAGGCACTCAAAATTAGACATCTGAGACTGGAGAAATGGCTCAGAAGTTAAGATAGCTGGCTGTAATTTCAGAGGTCCAGAGTTCAGTTCCCAGCAATCACATAGTGGTTTAAATCATCTAATGATATCTGGTGTCCTCTTCTCTCATGAAGGCAGAACACTATGTACATAAGTAAATCTTTAAAAAATAATTAGACATCAATTGAGTTAGTAAAAAAAAAAAAAAGTTTAGCATTTTGATCAGTTACTAAGTGCATCCAATCTGAAACTAGTCAATTTAAATAGATATTTCTCCTTAAGAACAGTTATTTTTTAAAAAGTACTTATAAGTTTATACTCATATACATTCCTAAGAGGTTATTTAAATGATTTTCAAATACCCTGGAAATGTCTTTAACCAACTCTTAGTTATGGTTAATATCAAGTATTAATAAGCAAACTACAACAAAATGCTACAAGGAAAAATGTAAGTAAGCTACAATCTCAGATTTAACATGTTCACTTTCATATATATTTCTTAATTTTCCAACTGCACATCTAACTGAACCTTTAAAAAAGTCTGTACAGAAGCCCAACAGGGGTGGCACACACTTCAATCCCAGCACTCAGAAGGCAGAGGCAGACGGCTATCTGTGAGTTTGAGGCCAGCCTGGTCTGCAGAGTGAGTGCCAGGACAGCCAGGAATACACAGAGAAACCCTGTCTCAAAACAAACAAAAAAATAAATAAATAGATAAATAAGCCTTTGCAGATGAAGTATATAACATAAATTTTAAAACTACAGTTTATTTCTTATTGCATGTCACTTTAAAAAAGTGTCAGTATAAATACTATTTTAGAAACTGCTAAAAACTTACACTTCAACAAAATTCGAATAGTGAAGAGACTTTTAAGAATTTCTAAAAGAAGTTGGGCAGTAGTGGCGCACACCTTCCCAGCACTTGGGAGGCAGAGGCAGGCAGTCCTCTTTGAGTTCAAGGCCAGCCTGGTCTGCAAAGCTAGTTGCAGGACAGCTAGGGCTGTTACACAAAGAAACCCTTGTCTCAAAAAAAAAAAAAAAAAAAAAAAAAAAAAAAAAAAGAGAGAAAAAAAAAATTAAAAGAAATCTGGAATGCTTAGATCTAAACACAATACTTATAAATTGATATGAGGCCATCTCACAGAAGCAAAAGAAAGTTCCAATAATTTCTAATTCTGTATAAACCCAGAAAAAATAATAAAAGTTTTATCTTTTTCAGGGAACACAGTAATTTAAGAAACACAGAAAAGAGGATCTCAGGAGGCAAACTGAACTAAACTATTAAAAAGAAGCATATATAAATAAATCTAAGATCTGGACTCCATGAATCTAGGAAAGAATCCATATGACTTGAAGATATAAACATTTTTCTGCTAAAAATGTCCAGTTAAATTCTATAATAATTGATTGTATAAATGTGTGTATTAACTGTTTCAAATAGTCCTTTACAATCAAAAGTACTTTAGATTCAGTATTTATTACCCTCAGGGTCTGGGTCTGGAGAGTGGACTCTAATGAGAAACAATTTCCAAGCATTCTCTGAAGATAAGGATAACTAAAGTATAACCTGAAAGACACTTTGGAGGACCTGTGTGGTCAGTCATTTAATCCCAGCACCTGGAAGGCAGAGGCAGGTGGATCTAGGTGAGGATGAGACCAGCCTGGTCTACATAGTGAGTTTTAGGCCATCTAACACTATATGGTGAGACCTTGTCTTAAAAAAAAAAAAAAAAAAAAAAAAAAAAATTCTTCAAACAAAATGACACCAGCATTATTTGAATTGTTTACAAGCTATGCCACTAAATGTCTGCTAATGCATAGTATTTGAAGATTAGTCATTGTAGGAGCTTTATAAACACAAATGTCCCCAGATGCAGACACATTCTGCCTTTACACATGCAGCACTCCTTAGAGAGTGCACACACTTTCACCAGGCACATTGAGGCATGCAGAGACTAACACTCCAGGCATGCTTGGAACCCAGAAAGGAGCAGCTCAGCCACTTACAGCAGTGCCAAGTCCATGCTTGAAAGTGCTCTATGTATTCAATTATAGACAAAAATATTTCACAATTAAAGTAACTAGTCACAGAATACTCAAGACTATAAACTTGGATTTAGTAAATTTTAACCATTATCCAATAATAAGAAGAATATTTTCAATATTTTGAATCAAAATAGGCAGCAGCAACTTATTTTGAATTACACATAAACTTGTGGGAAACAGAAATCATCGTCTTTTTTGTTTTTTTAAACTTTAAAACTAACCCTTGGAAGGACAATGGTCTGAGTCATTACACTGGCAAATGTACAGTTTTGTTTGTTTAAGTTTTTCCTATCAACATATTTTATCATTAGGCTATCCTCTATAGAATTAACTATAATTAATATAATGTCTACCTATAATTTAAGTCAGTGATACTCAACCGAAGGCAGTATTGTTCCCCCAGGCATTTAGTTGTTCATAATACAGTAGACACAGCACAGTTGCCATTTCATGAATTGAGCACCAAAATGATAAATGTCCTTCAAGGCACAAGGCCAGGCTGAAAACAGAGAGCTATTGTCCTACAATGCTATTAGCTTTCCACAAAGCAAAGTGAATGTGTCACTAAGTGACTTTATCAGCAGTTATTTCCCCCTGCAAGAATATTTTTTTAAAAGAGAAAAAAAAAAAAGGTAATATTTGGCTTAATTCAATATAACCAAGGTAAATGAAGAAGTGGAGATTGTTTTTAATTTGCAAGAGTCATGAATGGAATTTAATTATAAATAGGACAAATATACCAAGGTATCAATGACCAAACACTTTAAGGAAGGAAGGCAGGAATAAAGTGAACAACTTCCTCATAAATGTTAACATATCTGTCAATGGATAAAAGTAGAACTATAAAAAAATAAAGTCAGAGAACATTCAAATACAACTGTTCATAAAAGGAGCAGAATTTTTAAAAATCTACAGTCCACATCTACTAAGGTTTTACTGTGCTTTTTAGTTCATACACTCATATCATAAATACCTTTCTAATGAATTCACTTTCCTTGATATGCTTTTGTATCTTGTAAATATACCTTTTAAAATATTAATATTTTGTTCTAATTGAGGAGGATTAAAATATACAGTCACATAAGGTTTCACCATTTTGTAAATGTGCCATACTAGGCTATACTATAATTATTCTTCCTTTGAATTTAAATGGTAAGATGGTAGGTCAGAATGTATCAAATACTTTTGTTATGAAAGTACTAAATTATATTTTCAGTGGCATTGCTCTCAATAGGTTTTGAACTTTAAATGAAAATTTTTAGGCTTACTCTTTCCAAAAAGATTCTATTAACTTCATCCCTTTCAATTAAAAGCCTCTGGTTGAGTGAGAACATAAAAACTACAGCTGTGTATCAAATACTGGTACAACCACCCAGAGGAGCTTTCTGTTTTATATGAAGTTCTAAAAGTTCAGAACCTTTGTTGGAACCAGCATCTCTCTTAAAAATGGAAAAAATATAACCCAAAACAAAATAGGAAGGAAAACTATTTTTTAGCAATACCGAGTACCTTTTAGACTTACATTGGTGATGATGCGGTGGAGTGAGTTTACCAGCACATAGTGAAATGTAGAAGGTGAATTCTGAGCCAGGCAGATCTGCCAAGAGAAAAAAAAAATTCATTAATGCCAAAAAAACCAAAAGAACAGCAAAATAGTTAAATTATTTTCAATAAAATAAACTTAACATCTTCAAATTAGTATCAATATAGTATATTTTAAAAAATACTACTAAGAGGCTAGAGAGATATTTCAAGAGTTAAGAGAGTTAAGAGCACTGGCTGATCTTGCAGAAGACTTAGGTTCAATTCCCAGGATACACATGGCAGCCCAGTGTCTATAATTCTAGTTCCAAAGCACACGATACCTTTTCTGACATCTGAAGGCAAAATATCCAGATACATAAAATAAAAATAAATAAATCTATTTCCTAAAAAGTAGACTATTATAATAAACTACACCTATTCATCTTCATAGTATCTGCATTTTATAAGGATAACTACATTAATAAACATGGTTGTACAAAACAATTTCTTACCTTAAAGTGCTGGTTGTTTTGAGGGCTTATCCGAAAGCAAGAGACAAGACAGTCAATCATGAGGTCCACATCTGCAGGCTGACTGCCTCTAGAGAATGGTTTACTTGGATTAAAAAGCAGGTTCTATAAAAATCCCAACAGAAAACAGTGGCCTTTAAATAGTCGTGAAGTATTTTTTAGCAAGGTATGTACACATAATCAGCTTTATCCACATCGATTACAGTAAACTTTAGTTGCCAGAAAAAGCACAAAATACTGGTTATTATAGTTTGCCAATATCATATAAGACTTATTATACTACATTTAATTTTTCCCAAGCCAAATTTTTACATTAAGACCCAAGAATGTATATATTAAGAAAACCACTGGGTGTTATTCTTAATATTCTCAGTGTAGACTAATGAGCACAGTAACAACAAAAGCAGGTCCTTTGAACTAAAATCATCAAAGTTACCACAAAATTTAAAGTTAGCAATTATCTTTAGCACAATACTCATAACTAGAAGTTTATCCACCTAATTTCCTTACTTCTATAGAAGACAAAGAACAGCATATTACCTTAAGATCAACCACCATGGACTGCACTAGTAGGAAAATGACCGAGTTATCTTCCCAGTTGATGTAAGTACTTGCTTTACACAACTTGACACAAGCAATGGCAGCACTCTCTGTCAGCTGCCTGCTTCCTCCATGGCCGGCAAGTGCTTTTCGTAAACTATCCAGAAACAGCTTCTACAGAATTTAAATTTAGGAAGACAATAAATCTAGTTTACACTATTTTGTAGATTTATCAACAAAGCAGCAAATTATCAATCTCAAAATTCAAATTAAAAATAGAATGGTTTATATTTGGCTTTCATTTCATATTTAAGAAGTCATCACTTAATCTTTCTCACGTTAAAAAAAAAAAAAACAAATACAAAACACTTTACCTTCTCTGTTGACTTTCTACAGGAATAAAAGAAACATTCCTTTCTATACGTTTGAACTCAACTTTAGAATAGGTTTAAAATATCTTGCTTTTGATGTTATCTTTGAGGCTTAAACATATGAATGACAGCCTTGGCTGTGGGATATGTCAAATTGTTTCATTCTTTTCTACTGCTCTAGAGTTTATCCAACCTTCAGCTTTCTGAAGAATTATACCCAAGGAAATTCTGTTCCTCTAAATTTCAATTCTAGAAAGAAAAAAAAATCCAGCTTTGCCAAAGGCTATAGATGAAACCAGCTGTGAACAAGATGTTTCATAAGGGCACTGGGAGGGCCCTACACAGACCTAGACAAGGATGGACGCAGCACCAGGATCTTGATGGACTTGGCAGCTAATGAAAAGGCAGTTCATACAGGATTAAAATGATATTGAAGACCTCTCTGATGATGACAATGTCCACTGAGGTTGTTCAGTCACCTATGTGCTGCTTTTGTGATGTGTCCTGAACTGTTCAGGACAAGGTCAAATGGCTGTAGATGTCTTTCGAAGATCACTAAGAAATCAGACTGAACCAACTGGATATGTTACTCATTCTTCTTTCAAATACAATAACCTGTCAACACATCTTTGCTGAGGCTAACAACTGCTTGACCCAGAACTAAAATGTACTCACTGAGTGAAACAACTGCTTCCCATCAGAAAATGGCAGAAACTCATTTTGCCCTTCTCACCTTATTTATGTTGTTCTCATCAACCACATCCTTGGATATGTCCTGGATTATTTCTGGACACAAAATGAGGAGAATGATTTGCAGTGGCCAAACTGCGGCTTTACGTTTGGTGCTTTCAGCAAAACCGTCCACCAAGTCAAATAGTTTTTCTGCACACTCTGTGTGGAAACACACAGTACGTTACCTTATTAGACAAGAAAATCCTTGGCACTAAACTAAAATCCAGACATCCCAAAACACACACACACACACACACACACACACACAACATGCTGCTTTTCTGGTTACTTTGTTGTTGAGCACATAGGTAAGAATTTTAAATGAAGCTCTAGTGTTTCATATTATGATTGAATATTGATGGCGCTCTCACAGCGCGTGCTCAAAGGGGAAAGGACTGGAAATAATACAGAAATAGGAGAGAAAAGCTGTCACTCCTATTTGGGGACAGCTGACAATAGAAGATAGAAAAACCACTCTTACAACAAAGTAACCAGAAAAGCAGCATGTTTTTACCTCTAAGAGCTTAACAAAAGCACAAGCACATCCCTCACTGCACAGTAACTCTGCTTACCAGCCATATCAGTCTGCGGAATTTGGTACAGCTTTGTAAATTCATCCGGATAGTTTTCTACCCAGTTCCAAAAGGCCTAAGAGTAACAAAATATATGCTTTTATAGGAAAGCAGTCAATAGTTCCAATATATTAGATAACACAGAATCTAAAGTTTTCTTTATAAAAATACTGTAACTACCACCCAAGTCTTGACTTTCTTATACTCAGGTTTTAAAAAATAAAGCAAAATTGATAGCTGAAACTGAAACCCAAATACCCAGGAAGCTGAAGCTTACCTTTTCTAGGCTATTTATAACTGCTAACTGTGCGACCTTCTTCAGGGCTTTAAATTTAAATGCTGTTTCTGGAGGGAAAAATTTTGTTTTAATAACTCTCAATTACTTAACACGAGTACAATTCATAACTACTACAAAATAATTACGTGTACTCTTGTGCTTCCAATATTATTAATAAGCAATTTAACAGTAAAGATAAATATAAACCCCAAACTCATGAATTACATTGATAAACACAGAAAAAAGTAAAAACATGCCTTGAACTTCAAGTTTTCCCTTTGCACTATTTTTTAAAATTGGTTTACAAAAAAACAAAACAAACTATAAAACATGGGGATAGAAAGATGGCTCAGTGGTTAAGAGCACTAGACACTTCCAGAAGACCTGGGTTTGATATCCATCACCCACGTGTTGGCTCATATCCTTCCGTTCCAGTTCCAGGGAATCAGGCGCCCTCTTCTGGCCTCTGCAGGCACCAGGCACCAGACACACATGGTACACAGACACACATAGACAAAACATCCATACAGGTAAAAAAAAAAAAAAAAAAAAAAAAAAAAAACAAGAAACTTATTTTTAAATATATTTAATAAAACAGAAGCTAGTCATGGTAGCAACACCTTCAATCCTAGCATTTGGGAGGCAGAGGCAGGTGGATCTCTGTGAGTTTGAAGACAGCCTGATCTACATAGTAAGTTACAAGACAGCAAGGACTATACAAAGAAGCTATGTCGCAAAAAAGACAAAACAACAACAAAAAACTATAGGGATTGGAGAGATGGTTCAGTGGTTGAGAGCACTGGCTGCTGTTTGAGAGGACCTGAGTATAGTTCCCAACACCCACATGATGGCTCACAACCATCTGTAACTTCAGCTTCAGAGGATCCAACACACTCTTCTGGTCTCTGAGGGCACTGCAGTGTATGCACATAGATACACACACAATAAATCTTGGGAGTGAGGGAAGAAGGGAGGAGCTATTTAAATGTTTTCAAAGTAATTTCTAGTATTTCAGTATTATAAGTAGCAATGATAAATGTATAGTTATATAAAGCCTTTTCCATATTACTATTTTCTTCAAGGCAGGCAATTGTCTAGAAGTGTCTAGGCAAGGGAACAAATATTTCCTAAGGACTCTTGATAAAATCTGCAAAGCTATTTTCCATAAAAGTTGTTCACCAAGCATCATCCTGACCATCTCTGTTACATTTTTGCTATCATCATCTAGTAAGGTAGTTTTAATTCTGCTAATCTATTTAAAATAGATTACACTTTATCTTTGAATTCTTTTAATTTTGTTATCATGCAAAGAAATGAGTATCACAGCATTTCATGAATATGTGTCTATATGCTGTTCTCCTTCACTATTCCCACTCTATCCCCATGTTCTCACCCTCCTAGCTGAGTCCCTTTCTTCCAAATCAGGCAGCCCACCCATTTGCTGTCATGCTGCATATATTATATTACCCTATGTTTCTCCCTCTCTAGATTCTCCACCCTCATGATCCACCTTATAGCCCTCCTGAACATATGCACGAGCACACACACACACACACACACACACGTGTGTGTATACAAATATATGTATATACACACACACCTTTAAACCTAGGTTTCACATAAAGAAGCAAGCATAATTGGTTTGTCTGAATCACACTTATGCAACAATGATTTCTAGTTCCATCTATTTTCCTCCAAATGTCATAACTGCAATTGTCCTTAAGGCTACATAAAATTCTGTTGTGTATACATAGCATTTTACCTCTTTATTTTGTAAAAATGATTCATTGATTCTATTCTTTTTATATAAAAACACAAAGGAGAAATCTGGCCAATCAACACACAACACACACCACATGAAAAGGCACTTTACCAAACAAGTCAAAGAACATACGAATGTTTCTTTCATAGTGGCTATACTTTTCCATTTAACTATTTTTCAAAGGTCCACGTGTTCTCATTGTTATTTTCTGTTCTGGTTACACAACAATGGGAAGAAAGTAGGCTAGTTAAAATAACCCTCTTAGGCAGTTTTCTGCTGGCATTTCTTTGCAATCTGAGATTTGTGGATGTGAGGGAATCCACTACCCCAGCTTTGATAGGCAAATCCAACTCCTTGCCACATGCTGCAAGCTGCAAGTGACACTGGGTGACACACTTCCTTACAAGATCCTTGGAAACATTAGCTGCCAACTCCAATGCCTAAGCAGTGAGGTACTCCACAATTGCAGCACCCTACACAGCAGCAGTAGTACCCACTTATCTATGGCTGTCTGCGGATGTGGCCCACAGGGAAGAGAGCTCTCTATGAGCAAGAAATTAACTTAGCCTTGGCCTTCCCACTATCCTTTCCCGCTTTCCCTCCCCTCGGCCACACAAATGCCCACCGGTATAGCTGACCACATTTTCTGAACTTACTGACCACATTTTCTGAATCCATTCAGACTGGTATCATTTCCTGGCCACTGTGAATAGTGTGGCAGTAAAAATGGATGCACAACTATTTATGTAGCTATGCAATATAGTGGTATATCTGAGTCATACAGTCTATTCCTAGTTTTCTGAAGAACCCTTCCAACTGACTTCTACAGTGACTATTCAAATTTTCATTCTCAAAAGTGGCAAATAAGGATTCCTCTTGCCTCACATTCTCGCCAGCATTTGTTGTCCTTTGTTTCCTTGATGACAGCCATTTCAACTGAGGTGAGACAGAATTTCAAAGCATTAATTTACATTTCCCTGACTTCTAAGAATGTTGAACACTTTTTCCAAGTATCTACTGGTCATTTGTATTCCTATTAGGGACCATCTATTCAGTTCATAAGCCTACCTATAGGCTGAATGGTTTTAGTGTTTAATTTTAGCAGTTCTTTATATATCTTAGATATCAATCTCCAGCCAGATGTGAGGCTGGCAATCCCCCCCCCCAAGTCTGTAAATGGTCTCTTCACTAGACTGTTCCCTTTTCTTGGCACTTAATTCCATTTGTCAAATCTTGGTATTTTTCCTAAGCTATAGCTCTTCAGAAAATTCTTGTCTACACCTACATACTGAAATGCTTCATCTATGTCTTCTCCTTAAATTAAGGTTTTGATATACTGAATTTATTGTTGTGCAATGTGAGAGATATGGACTTATTTTCATTCCACATGTAAAACTCCAGTCCAACACACTTATTAAAGGGGGTACCTTCTCTCCAATTTGTGTTTTTGACAGTTTAAGTCAGAAACTTAGGTAGTGTGATGGCTAATCTTGGTTGTCAACTTGACTATATCTGGAATCATCTAAATACCAAGTAGTTGGCCATACCTATAAAGGGTTTTCTTGATAGAATCATTTGATGTGGGAAGAGCCACCCTCAAACTGGGCCACATCGTCTGGTGACAGCCCACATAAAAGGACATGGAAGAAAACTTTTGCTTTTTGTCTGCTTGCCTCAGTCCTGCTAGCAAGTGCATCCCTCCTATAGCTACGGTACTTCCTGCATTAATATCAGAACCTAAAGGCACTGACTGGTAAGGAGTAGGATCCTCCTGAACTTGAGATGGAGAAATGTTAGGAGGACCCTAATGAAGTGAGGCAGAAGATTCTGAATCTCCACATTCTGAAGAGCTTGTCTCACCTGAAAAAGCAGCTTCCCCACTCCTACTGGAGGATGTATCCCCATCCCTTGCAATATTCCCTTCTGTACCTTTGCCTGAGGAAATTTTTCCTTCATTGTCTACAAACTAGTAGTGATTTTCCCTTAAGAAATATCAGGCAAACCAACTGAGGTCCCTCAATGCCCACCAAGAGGAGCCTATAAACTATAACCAGAATGAAGGCTAAGCAGGTTCCTAAAGGTAAAATTCACAAGAAGGTATGCTACACCACTAAAGAGTTTGTTGATTCATTCAAATAGACGTCTGGGGAATATGTACAGGAATGGATTTTTAATGCTGTGAAATAATGGTGGAAGAAACATAAAACTGGATCGTGCTGAGTTTATCCGTATGGACCCACTGAGTGAAGGTCCCAAGTTTAATACTGAAGTTCTCATGGTTTAAAAAGGTGTCAGAAGTTTCACTAGTTAATTGAAGCACTTGCCATAAGACAGTCTGAAAAGAAACTAGAGATACCTGTTATCCTTGGCTTAGTATTGATAAAGAAACATAGGGATCAGAGAAATTGCAATAGTGAGTGTGTCATATTAAGCATAATCCTCCACAATGGGAAGCTCAGGCAACAGTTCCTTCTCTAATCCTGTAAGACACAAAATTGTCAGACTGGGAATAAAGAATTTTGAAAGTCTTTGTCATAGCTCTTTTCCTTGTGTGAGAGACCTTAGGGTTGGAGACATTAATGCTCAATTAGAAAAGTTAAATGTGATGGGCTTAATTGAGCCCCCAGAGTAGGAGGGGCCAGGTGGCAGCCTGAATAGTCAAAGGCAAGGAGAACATATTTACATAATGGGCAGCACAGTGAAAGCGACTTTTATGATGGACATGACTCCTACTGACCTTTTTGTACTGGCTAATCAGTTGTGGTGTTTCCAGGAATGAATTAGATAAGCAGCCTACTATGTGTAAACAGAAAAAAACTCAAAAAAAAAAAAAAAAAAAAAAAAAAAGCTACACTGGATATAGCAAGAGGGAATCTGAATCTCAGCCTATGAACCAATTTCCAGACTTGAGCTAGTCTGTAGACATGTCCTTGAATGAGAAGGCCAAATTCCCCTGAGGACCTTGCCAAAATACTTGAAAGTTTTTCTGTTACCCTTTCTCCCATCCTTTCCCGAGGGCCCCATGACCTTTTACAAGGATAACTGTACTCTGAGAAAAAAAAGAAACAATCAGACTTTCCAGAGTCTACTAGATACTGGTTCTAAACTGACAATGATTTTAAGGGACCTCAAATAGTACTGTGGCTCTCCAGTTAAGAGGGGCTTATAAGTCACAGGTGCTTAATGGAATTTTGGCTGAAGTCCATCTCACAGAGGGTCCAATGGATTCCAAACTCAGTCTGTGGTTATTTCCCCAGTTCCAGAATATATAATTGGCACAGATATATTTAGAAGTTGGCAGAATTC